ATTCTTCGGCGACCAGCCTTCTTGATGGTCCAGCTCTCACTTCCACACATCACTACTGGGAAAACCAGAGCTTTAACTATACGGACCTTTGTTGGCAAGGTGATGTCTCTGCTTTTTAAGATGCTGTCTAGGTTTGTCATTGCTTTTCTCCCAAGAAGCAGGCGTCTTTTAATTTTGTGACTGCTCTCACCATCTGCAGTGATCATGGAGCCCAAGAAAGTAAAATCTCTCACTGCCTCCATTTCTTCCCCTTCTATTTGCCAGGAGGTGATGGGCCCAGTGGCCATGATCTTCGTTTTTTTGATGTTGAGCTTCAGACCATATTTTGCGCTCTCCTCTTTCACCCTCATTAAAAGGTTCTTTAATTCCTCCTCACTTTCTGCCATCAAGGTTGTGTCATCTGCATATCTGAGGTTGTTGATATTTCTTCCGGCGATCTTAATTCCGGCTTGGGATTCATCCAGCCTGACCTTTCGCATGATGAATTCTGCATATAAGTTAAATAAACAGGGAGACAATATACAGCCTTGCTGTACTCCTTTCCCAATTTTGAACCAATCATTTGTTCCATACCCAGTTCTAACTGTAGCTTCTTGTCCCACATAGAGATTTCTCAGGCTACTGTTAACTGCTCCCAAAAAACCCAGGTCTTTATGGATGGAATTTTTCTCCCTTTCCATTTGCTATGAGCATCCTGGCAGCTATTGTCACATAGAGGAATACTTTCCTTTGATTGTCAGGAATATCGTTTGTGATTATACCCAAAAGGAATGCCTCCGGTTTTTTTTACTAAAGGAATGGCAAATTAAATTTTGCTAATATATACATCTGGCAAGACTCACAGCATTCATAAGGGGACAATCAGACCAAAAATTACTATTAAAAGAATGGAGATGAGTATATGAAAAGTAATGAATGAAGCTTTGCAGGGTTAAAGTAAGAGAAAAATGGTGCAAAAAGTATAAAAATGGTGCAAAAAGTAATCTGCTTTAGACACAACAATTTAGAAAGAGTAAAAATTTCGAGGTCTTAGAACAAAGGAAGGAAGTCAATATGTGTATACGTACGTAATGATTAGAATGATGATATGGTTTTATTTGTAGATGTGTGTTTTTGTTTTTTGTTTTGTCTCATTGTTTTTTGCTTCTGCTTTATTTTGGCTTCAGTGTTTCAGTGTTTGTAATTTTTGTTGCAATTTGGCATTGAAAATTAAAAAATTAAAAAACAAAAGAGTATATGAAAAGTATCGAATGAAGCTTTGCAGGGTTAAAGTAAGAAAAAAAATTAAAAATTAAAAAAAAACAAAGCAAAAACCCAGGGCTTTAATTTGGCTTGGGGAGTAGGGTTGCCAGATAAATACTGTATTTTTTGTTCTAGAAGACTCACTTTTTCCCTCCTAAAAAGTAAGGGGAAATGTGTGTGCGTCTTATGGAGCGAATGCAGGCTGCGCAGCTATCCCAGAAGCCAGAACAGCAAGAGGGATTGCTGCTTTCACTGCGCAGCGATCCCTCTTGCTGTTCTGGCTTCTGAGATTCAGAATATTTTTTTCTTGTTTTCCTCCTCCAAAAACTAGGTGCGTCTTATGGTCTGGTGCGTCTTATAGAGCGGAAAATACGAAAAATAAAAATAAAAATCTCCAGTCTGACCCCCTGCAATGTGTGTGTGTTTCAGCCCAGCAGGAGCTGCCTGCGAATCATAGCACAGCCAGACCGGGAGATCTGCCGTTTTCTGTTCTCTTCTCCCAATTAACCTCCGTCTCCAAGACCGGTCCTGTGACATCACCCTGTGCGCTCCAACTGTCCTGTTTCTACTGGGACATCCCAGAATTACAGAAGCCGCCTCGATTTCTGATTCCATCCTGGGATGTCCCAGAATTTCAGCCACGGGGGCTGGGGGGTGGCGCAAAAGAAGCACTGCACCTCTGGCCAGAACTTCATTCCTGTGCAGGCGGATTGGGGGCAACGACAAAAGGAGAGCTGAGCATGTGCAGAGTGCCTTTCTCCACCTCAGAGGTAACAGGTGACCATCCATCCTTAGCTGTGGTTCCTGCATTGCAGCGGCTTGGGTTAGATGACCTTTGGGGGGTCCGTTCCGCTGAGTAACCAGGAGCGTCCGGCAGAAAGGGAATAATTAAGTGCTCAGTTAATTAATCTTTCCTCAGGTCTCTTGGCCATCCTTGCCCTCGAAGGGAAAAGCTCCTGTTAGCAGCTGCCAGCGCAGTTTAGTCTTTAACTAGATGGTGATGGCGATCAAGTAGCAGGATTTAAACTGAACAAGTTAAAAACTAAGGTTTTAGAGAAATATTTAACACCGATTGAAAGAGAGAGGTTTCAGATTGAGACAGGTCTGACTGTGGTTAAGAAAGTGAAATACTTGGGGATTAATATGACAGCCAAAAATGGGAACTTATTTAAAGATAATTATGAAAAATGTTGGACGGAAGTGAAAAAAGATTTAGAAATTTGAAGCTTTCATTGTTGGGTCGTATTGCTGTGATAAAAATGAATGTATTGCCAAGAATGTTGTTTCTGTTTCAGACATTGCAAATTGTGGACAAGATGGACTGTTTCAAGAAGTGGCAGAGAGATATCTCTAGATTTGTCTGGCAGGGCAAGAAGCCTAGAATAAAATTTAAGATATTAACTGATGCAAAGGAAAGAGGTGGATTTGCCCTGCCAGACTTTAAACTTTATTATGAATCAGCAGCTTTTTGCTGGTTGAAAGAATGGCTACTCCTTGAGGATGGACGGCAGCTAACAGATTGAGGTTGAATCCTGACAAGACAGAAGTACTGTTTTGGGGGGACAGGAACGGGCGGGTGTGGAGGACTCCCTGGTCCTGAATGGGGCAACTGTGTCCCTGAAGGACCAGGTGCGCAGCCTGGGAGTCATTCTGGACTCACCGCTGTCCATGGAGGCGCAGGTCAGTTCTGTGTCCAAGGCAGCTGTCTGCCAGATCCATCTGGTATGCAGGATGAGACCCTCCCTGCCCGCAGACTGTCTCTGCAGAGTGGCACATGCTCTGGTTATCTCCCGCTTGGACTACTGCCATGCGTTCTACGTGGGGCTACCTTCGAAGGTGACCCGGAAACTACAACTAATCCAGAATGCGACAGCCAGACTGGGGACTGGGAGTGGCCGCTGAGACCATATAACACCGGTCTTGAAAGACTTACATTGGCTCCCAGGACGTTTCTGAGCACAATTCAAAGTGTTGGTGCTGACTTTGAAAGCCCTAAACGGCCTCAAAGGCCCAGTATACCTGAAGGAGCATCTCCACCCCCATCATTCTGCCCGGACACTGAGGTCCAGCACTAAGGGCCTTCTGGCGGTTCCCTCCCTGCGAGAAGCTACAGGGAACCAGGCAGAGGGCCTTCTCGGTGGTGGCTCCCGCCCTGTGGAACACCCTCCCACCAGATGTCAAAGAGAACAAGAACTACCAGACTTTTAGAAGACATCTGAAGGCAGCCCTGTTTAGGGAAACTGTTAATGTTTGATGTATTACAGTATTTTAATATTTTTTTGGGGAAGCCGCCCAGAGTAGCTGGGGAAGCCCAGCCAGATGGGCGGGGTATAAATAATAAATTATTATTATTATTATAACCTGGATCCGTCCCTTTTGCATCTAAACTCCAGGCTTAGATTTCTCCTTGCGATGCTCACCCAAAGGCCGAGCCCAGGTGTCCTTCAAGCTGGGAGGGGGGCAGGGGGTAATGGGCAGGCCCCGTCCCCCAGTCTCTTAAGTTCATCTTGAGTCTCAGGACAGAGTTTTGTTATTCATTTCTTTATTGGTTGCATTTGTATCCCCCAAGGAGCTCAAGGTTCTCCCTCCCCTCCTCCTTTAATCCCCACGACAATCCTGTGAGGTAGCCGAGGCTGAGAAAGGGAGCGGCTGGACAAACGTCACCCAGTGAGAGTCCCAGTGGGGGCGTGGCTTGAGGAGAGGGCGTGGCCTTGTAGAGTCCCAGTGGGTGTGGCTTGAGGAGAGGGCGTGGCCTTGTAGAGTCCCAGTGGGAGTTGCTTGAGGAGAGGGTGGGGCCTTGTGGAGTCCCAGTGGGTGTGGCTTGAGGAGAGGGCGTGGCCTTGTAGAGTCCCAGTGGGAGTGGCTTGAGGAGAGGGTGTGGCCATGTGGAGTCCCAGTGGGTGTGGCTTGAGGAGAGGGCGTGGCCTTGTAGAGTCCCAGTGGGAGTGGCTTGAGGAGAGGGTGGGGCCTTGTGGAGTCCCAGTGGGAGTGGCTTGAGGAGAGGGCATGGGTTTGGCTTGAGGAGAGGGTGTGGCCTTGTTCAGTCCCATGGGGCGTGGCTTGAGGAGAGGGCGTGGCCTTGTAGAGTCCCAGTGGGTGTGGCTTGAGAGGGCGTGGCCTTGTAGAGTCCCAGTGGGTGTGGCTTGAGGAGAGGGCGTGGCCTTGTAGAGTCCCAGTGGGTGTGGCTTGAGGAGAGGGTGGGGCCATGTGGAATCCCAGTGGGAGTGGCTTAAGGAGAGGGTGGGGCCTTGTGGAGTCCCGGTGGGTGTGGCTTGAGGAGAGGGTGGGGCCTTGTTCAGTCCCATGGGGCGTGGCTTGAGGAGAGGGTGTGGCCTTGTTCAGTCCCATGGGGCGTGGCTTGAGGAGGGGGTGTGGCCTTGTAGAGTTCCAGTGGGTGCGGCTTGAGGAGGGGGTTTGACCTTGTGGAATCCCAATGGGAGTGGCTTGAGAGGGCGTGGCTTTGTGGAATCCCAGTGGGTGTGGCTTGAGGAGAGGGCGTGGCCTTGTACAGTACATGTAGGGGTGTGGCTTGAGAGGGCGTGGCATTGGAGAGTCCCAGTGGGTGTGGCTTGCAGAGAGGGTGTGGCCTAGGGTCTGAATAGAGAGGCTTAGGGGGCTGTATTTGACCCTGAGGTTCCCCAGACCCACCCCATAGGGATGTGGGCACGAGCTTGTTCTTCACATCCTGTCACCGTGTCGGCGGGAGTCAACGGTTCACAGGCCTTCCCCGTGGAAGGACCACCCGACCCATTATTCCGGTTGGGCAAAGGAGGCCGTGGGCTCAGGGGAAGGGCTGGTCAGGGGGCAGGTGGAAACTCGCGTCCAGGAAGATGCTGAAGGTGCCCAGCGTGGTGAAGATGATGAAGGTCCAGAAGAAGAGGCGGTCCACCACGATGGCGACGTACTCCCAGTCCTTCTTCAGCTGCAAGGGAAGGAGGAAGCAGGTCACAGAACAGTCGAACTGGGAGGGACCATCAAAGGTCATCCAGCCCAACCCCCTGCGAGACAGGAGTCGGAGCTGCTTGACAGGTGTCCATCCAACCTCTGCATAAAAACTTCCAATGAAGGAGAACCCGTCACCTTCGGAGGGCGTCTGTTCCACAGCCAAACAGCTCGGACCCTCCTAGTGTTTAATAATAATAATAATAATAATAATAATAATAATAAAAATGATGATGATAATAATAATAACAATAATAATAATAATTTCTTATTTGTACCCCATCCATCTGGCTGGGTTTCCCCAGCCACTCTGGGTGGCTTCCAACAAAGACAAAAAATACACAAAAAGGTCACACATTAAAAACTTCCCTAAACAGGGCTGCCTTCAGATGTCTTCTGAATGTCAGGTAGTTGTTTATCTCTTTGACATCTGGAGGGAGGGCGTTCCACAAGGAGGGCGCCACCACCGAGAAGGCCCTCCGCCTGGTTCCCTGTAGCTTTGCTTCTCGCAATGAGGGAACCGCCAGAAGGCCCTCGGAGCTGGACCTCAGGGTCCAGGCTGAACGATGGGGGTGGAGACGCTCCTTCAGGTCTACTGGGCCTTTGAGGCCATTTGGGCTTTCAAGGTCAGCACCAACGCTTTGAATTGTGCTTGGAAACATACTGGGAGCCAATGTAGGTCTTTCAGGACTGGTGTTATATGGTCTCCCAGTCACCAGTCTGGCTGCCGCATTCTGGATTAATTGCAGTTTCTGGGTCACCTTCAAAGGCAGCCCCACGTAGAGCGCATGGCAGTAGTCCAAGCGGGAGATAACCAGAGCATGCACCACTCTGGCAAGACAGACTCCAGCCAGGGAGGGTCTCATCCTGCGCACCAGATGGAGCTGGTAGACAGGTGCCCTGGACACAGAACTGACCTGCGCCTCCATGGACAGCGGTGAGTCCAAAATGACTCCCAGGCTGCGCACCTGGTCCTTCAGGGGCACAGTTGCCCCATTCAGGACCAGGGAGTCCACCACACCAGCTTGCCCCCTGTCCCCCAAAAACAGTACTTCTGTCTTGTCATGATTCAACCTCAACCCATTAGCCACCATCCATTCTCCAACCGCCTGGAATCTCCTCCCTTGTAACTTGAATCTGTTGGTTTTGGGGGTCCTGCCCTCCGGAAACACCTTTGTTCCCTCTTCCATGTGGAAGCCCACCAGATATTTTAAGGTGGCTATTGCAGCTCATAATGCAATAGAGAGTCCCATGGACTGCAAAAAGATCAAACCTCTCCATTCTTAAGGAAATCAGCCCTGAGTGCTCAGTGGAAGGACAGATCCTGAAGCTGAGGCTCCAAGACTTTGGCCACCTCATGAGAAGAGAAGACTCCCTGGAAAAGACCCTGATGTTGGGAAAGATGGAGGGCGCAAGGAGAAGGGGACGATGGAGGACGAGATGGTGGGACAGTGTTCTCGAAGCTACCAGCATGAGTTTGACCAAACTGCGGGAGGCAGTGGAAGACAGGAGGGCCTGGCGTGCTCTGGTCCAGGGGGTCACAAAGAGGCGGACACAACTAAACAACTAAACAAAAACATTGCATCTCATCTCGGTCTCCCTTTATCCAGGCAAAACACGCCCAGATCCTTCCATCCTTCCCCAGAATGCTTGGTTTCTTCCACAAGAACTCACCTCATCATAGTCATCCTGCTCCTGGAGCTGCTCTGCTATGTAGGTGATGGAGTCCATGGCGGCCTTCAAGTCTGGCGGGAGCGCGATGAAGTGACTGGGGCCGTCAATGTACTTCTTCATATCCGTGGGGAATGCCTCTGGCTGGAACCTGCAGGAGATTTGCCGTCAGACCTAACAATGCATATTCTCGTTAATTAGCAAGTCTAGCAGCGGTTCTCAACCTGTGGGTCCCCAGATGTTGTTGGACTACAACTCCCATCATCCCTGACCACTGCTCATGAGTGGCTAGGAATGATGGGAGTTGTAGTCCAACAACATCTGGGGACCCACAGGTTGAGAACCATTGGTCTAGGGCATGGGTAGGCAAACTAAGGCCTGGGGGCCGGATCCGGCCCAATCGCCTTCTAAATCCGGCCCGCAGACGGTCCGGGAATCAGCGTGTTTTTTACATGAATGGAATGTGTGCTTTTATTTAAAATGCATCTCTGGGTTATTTCTGGGGCATAGGAATTCGTTCATTCCCCCCCAAAAAAATATAGTCCGGCCCCCCACATATAGTGGACCGGCCCCCTGCTGTAAAAGTTTGCTGACCTCTGGTCTAGGGGCTAACAACCACAGAGATGTAAATTCCTAGATAGGCAGACTCAGACCATAGGAATGCGATTGATGGAGAGAGAGAGAGAGAGAGAACTCTGTGTGATGTCATTTCCAGTGTTTCCAGTGGCTGGAAGGAACGAGAGATATAAACCCTTATCCTCTCTCTCTTTGTCCTTTTGCACCATATTTTTGATTGGGATGGATGTCTGTCTCAACTCTCCCTGAGCATAGAAACATTTTTACTATTCAACTATATATTTTGTAAGCTAGAAGTAATTTTTTCACCTGCATTGTGTTTGCTGCTGTTGGGCGCTGAAAATGAGTGCAAGTCTTTAAGTAAGTAAACCCCAATTTAAACTTACTTTACGGTCATTCTTTTATCAAGCAGGTAACTCCAAAAGTACCAGCTTTCAGCCTTTCCTAAGCTTCTATTTTCCTGCCAAAGGGTGGTCATCTAAAGCAGTGTTTCCCAACCTTTTTTGGGCAAAGGCACACTTGTTTCATGAAAAAAATCTCGAGGCACACCACCATTAGAAAATGTTAAAAAATTTAACTCTGTGCCTATATTGACTACCATATTTTTCGCCCCATAGGACGCACCGCCCCATAAGACGCACCTAATTTTTTGGGGGGAGAATAAAGGAAAAAAAAATTTTCCCCTCCCCAGGCACGGGGCAGGCGCGGGGGAAGCCCAAGCTTCCCCCGACCCCAGCCCCCAGAACAGCCTGATATCCGCAAGCCTAGGGAGCCACACTGGTCTCCCCAGGCTTGCGGAGAGGTGCGTGAAGCCCGGGGGCGCTCTTCAGCGCGCACCAGGCTTCGGGATGCAGGCAGCTCTGCACTACCCTCCAGAGCCCCGTGCGGCTTCGCGCTGGGATCCGGGGGGTGGCGCGGAGCTGCAAGAAGCCCTGGAGCGCAGGCAGCTTCGCACCACCCTCCGCAGCCCCGCGCGGCTTCGCACCGGGATCCGGGGGTGGCGCGGAGCTGCAAGAAGCCCTGGAGCGCGGGCAGCTCCGCGCCACCCTCCGCAGCCTCCTACGGAGGGCGCCCCGTGCTCCGCGCTGCTGGCTGCCGCCCGCAAGCCGTGCACGCGGGGGGGAGTTCCCCTGGGCGCGCAAGGCTTGCGGACAGCTGCGCGAAGAACGGGGCGTCCTCCGAAGGACGCCCCGCGCTCCGCAAGCCTTGCGCGCGGGGGGGGGAGTTCCCCCAGGCGCCCAAGGCTTGCGGACAGCTGCGCGAAGCACGGGGCGTCCTCCAAAGGGCGCCCCGCGCTCCGCGCTGCAGGCTGCCGCCCGCAAGCCTTGCGCGCCGGGGGGGGAGTTCCCCCAGGCGCCCAAGGCTTGCGGACAGCTGCGCGAAGCACGGGGCGTCCTCCAAAGGGCGCCCCGCGCTCCGCGCTGCAGGCTGCCGCCCGCAAGCCTTGCGCGCTGGGGGGGGGGGGAGTTCCCCCAGGCGCCCAAGGCTTGCGGACAGCTGCGCGAAGCACGGGGCGTCCTCCAAAGGGCGCCCCGCGCTCCGCGCTGCAGGCTGCCGCCCGCAAGCCTTGCGCGCCGGGGGGGGAGTTCCCCCAGGCGCCCAAGGCTTGCGGACAGCTGCGCGAAGCACGGGGCGTCCTCCAAAGGGCGCCCCGCGCTCCGCGCTGCAGGCTGCCGCCCGCAAGCCTTGCGCGCCGGGGGGGGAGTTCCCCCAGGCGCCCAAGGCTTGCGGACAGCTGCGCGAAGCACGGGGCGTCCTCCAAAGAGCGCCCCGCGCTCCGCGCTGCAGGCTGCCGCCCGCAAGCCTTGCGCGCCGGGGGGGGGAGTTCCCCCAGGCGCCCAAGGCTTGCGGACAGCTGCGCGAAGCACGGGGCGTCCTCCAAAGGGCGCCCCGCGCTCCGCGCTGCAGGTTCCCGCCCCCCGCCCCGCTTCGGAGCACCGGGAGAAGCGATCTCCCCGCAGCCCCTTGCTTCAAAAGAGGTCCGGGGGCAGCGCGAAGCGCTTCCCGCTGTCCCCGGACCTCTTTTGAAGCAAGGGGCGGTGGGGAGAAGCGATCTCGGGCGCCGCGCCGCCCCGCCTCTCCCGCCTCCCTCCCACGGCACACCAGGCAAGGTCTCACGGCACACTGGTGTGCCGCGGAACACCGGTTGGGAAACACTGATCTAAAGCTCTGCCCACGTTCCAAATGCAAACATCAAGCTGATTATTCAAGCTGATCCCACACATGTGAGAATCTGGAAGGATATTTGTAATTAATATATCCTCTCCCACGTAAGTCAATCAGTTAGCAGAGCATGAGACTCTGAATTTCAGGGTCGAGGGTTCGAACCCCACGTTGGGCAAAAGACCCCTGCACTGCGGATGACCCTCCTATGAAAACCTTGAAAGGGTGAGAATGGAAGAAGGAGTCCACCATTGATTAAACAAGCTGAGACCGCCATCTTCCCCTCACTCAGGCCTACTATTTAAGGGAGCTATTCAAGAGCCTAGGACTTGCCGATCGCATGGTCGGCAGTTCGAATCCCTGCGGCGGGGTGCGCTCCCGTTGCTCGGTCCCAGCGCCTGCCAACCTAGCAGTTCGAAAGCACATCAAAGTGCAAGTAGATAAATAGGGACCGCTTACTAGCGGGAAGGTAAACGGCGTTTCCGTGTGCGGCTCTGGCTCACCAGATGCAGCTTCGTCACGCTGGCCACGTGACCCGGAAGTGTCTGCGGACAGCGCTGGCTCCCGGCCCCTAGAGTGAGATGAGCGCACAACCCTAGAGTCTGTCAAGACTGGCCCGTACGGGCAGGGGTACCTTTACCTTTTTTTTTATTCAAGAGTAAGGGACGCGGGTGGCGCTGTGGGGTTAAACCACAGAGCCTAGGACTTGCCGATCAGAAGGTCGGCGGTTCGAATCCCTGCGACGGGGTGAGCTCCCGTTGCTCGGTCCCTGCTCCTGCCAACCTAGCAGTTCGAAAGCACATCAAAGTGCAAGTAGATCAATAGGTACCACTCTGGCGGGAAGGTAAACGGCGTTTCCGTGCGCTGCTCTGGTTTGCCAGAAGCGGCTTAGTCATGCTGGCCACATGACCCGGAAGCTGTACGCCGGCTCCGTCGGCCAATAAAGCGAGATGAGCGCCGCAACCCCAGAGTCAGCCACGACTGGACCTAATGGTCAGGGGTCCCTTTACCATTTACCTTTATTCAAGAGTAGCAAATATTTCTCAAATGGGGAGGGCCCTCCTTTTGCAAAAAAACCCAATTAGTCATGAAAAGTGCCAGGGCGAAGTTATTTCCCCATTTGGAGTGACGACAACACTGGCCCTCGCTCTCAACGGGCTTTGAAAACCTCTTAACTGGCTTTACTGTCAACATGACCAAATTGTATTTGCAATTTGCGAGGTAATCGGGAATGATCTTTGGACTCTACCTGGCGACGCAATCCTGAATAAAGTCTCACCGACTGGGAGTCTGGGGCGAGTCTCCGTACTCGAACCCATAAGGGGAATCCCCCCCCCCAATTCCCACTGCCACAATTTCAGAACTACCTAGCAACAGCCTCTCTCTCGTTCATCCCACCAGTGTCAAATTGCCTGGCACCGGGTCAGGGCCTCTTCACCTGTTGGGTTTGGGGAACAGGAAATCGTAGGCAGGGGTGCGGATAAAATATTCGTCCGTCCGGCGGTTGCTTTTCACCACGGTATCTTGTTTGGGGTGTGGGGGCGCAGGTTTCAAGAGCGTCTCTGTCTTGGGGCGCCGCAAGCCCAAATACCGGGGGAGCGTGTGGATGAAGGTCTAGAGAAGGAGGGAGAGAGGAAGAGAGAGTACATTTTCTCCCATTTCCCCCCACATTTCTGCTTAAGGGATGCCAGCAAGGCAGAGGGTATTGGTAAGAAGGTAGTTGTGTCTATAATAATAATAATAATAAATTACAGTATATTTATACCCCGCCCTCCCTGGCCAGAGCTGGGCTCAGGGCGGCTAACACCAGTAAAAATTACAGTAAGGACATAATACGGGGAGGGGGGAAACCAATTTAAAATACAGCTTAAAATGCAATTTAAAATGCAGCCTCGTTTTAAAAGTAGCCCGTAGATCAAAACCATAAGGGGAGGGAAATATAAGGGTCAGACTGAGTCCAAACCAAAGGCCAGAAAACAAAACTATATAGATGCTTTTATATACAGTGGTACCTCGGGTTAAGTACTTAATTCGTTCCGGAGGTCCGTTCTTAACCTGAAACTGTTCTTAACCTGAAGCACCACTTTAGCTAATGGGGCCTCCCGCTGCCTCACAATTTCTGTTCTCATCCTGAAGTTCTTAACCCGGGGTACTATTTCTGGGTGAGCGGAGTCTGTAACCTGAAGCGTATGTAACCTGAAGCGCATGTAACCCGAGGTACCACTGTCATCGTGGCTGCGGAAACCCAGCCAGGTGGGCGGGGAATAAATAAAAATTATTATTATTATTAGTATTATTTAGTAATCTGACAGCTGGTGGTAGTCCCTATGGCCTTTAATGGCTGTGAATCTCTCCCTGGCCTTTTGGCATCTCACGCTCATTGCAGTCTGAAAGGCATAAGAATGTAATATGAAGCTTGCTGGATCTGGCCAACGGCCCATCTACTCCAGCATGCTGCCATGACAGAGTATGCCCAGATGCCTCTGGGAAGCCTGCGAGCAGGACCCGAGTGCGAGAGCCACTCCTGCAGTTTCCAGCTATTGTTCTTCAGAAGCATTTCTGCCTCTGACCGTCTTCCAAAGCAACTACTTCATTCTGAACTTAGAAATGGACAGTGTAATGCTGGTGGTCAACAAAAGAGGTTGAAAGACTCTCTCGAGGCAAATCTAGAAAAATGTAGTATAAACACCAACAACTGGGAAACACTGGCCTGTGAGCGCTCCAGTTGGAGAACAGCCTTTACCAAAGGCATCGTGGGCTTGGAAGACACTCGAACTCAGGACGCAAGGGAGAAACGTGCCAAGAAGAAGGCACGCTTGGCAAATCCACACCGGGATCAACCCCCTTCTGGAAACCAATGTCCCCACTGTGGAAGGACGTGTGGATCCAGAATTGGCCTCCACAGGCACTTACGGACTCAATGTTAAAACCGTGTTTATGGGAGACAATCTTACTCGGCTACGAGGGATCGCCAAAGAAGAAGAAATGTTAGTGTCAATCTCCCCCACATACCTGTCGCACCCAGAAGGGCATCTCATGGGTGTTGGGTGAGCGATGGTGCAAGTTGAGGACGACCACACTGAGGATGACGGACAAAGTCACGAGACTCATGGTGAACATGAGGTATTTCACAATGATGGGCACCGCCAAGGATGTTTCTGGAACCTTGTCGGCCAGCAGGAGGAGGAAGACGGTGAGAGTGAGGAGAGCAAAGATGGAGAGGGTCATCTTCTCGCCTGAGGAAGGGAGGTGGAGAACATGAGCAGTACTGTTCTTGGGGGACAGGGGGCAGGTGGGTATGGAAGACTCCCTGGTCCTGAATGGGGCAACTGTGCCCCTGAAGGACCAGATGCGCAGCCTGGGAGTCGTTCTGGACTCACCGCTGTCCATGGAGGCGCAGGTCAATTCTGTGTCCAGGGCAGCTGTCTACCAGCTCCATCTGGTACGCAGGATGAGACCCTCCCTGCCCGCAGACTGTCTCTCCAGAGTGGCGCATGCTCTGGTTATCTCCCGCTTGGACTACTGCCATGCGTTCTACGTGGGGCTACCTTTGAAGGTGACCCGGAAACTACAACTAATCCAGAATGCGGCAGCCAGACTGGGGACTGGGAGACCATATAACACCAGTCTTGAAAGACTTACATTGGCTCCCAGGACGTTTCTGAGCACAATTCAAAGTGTTGGTGCTGACCTTGAAAGCCCTAAACGGCCTCAGTCCAGTAGACCTGAAGGAGCATCTTCACCCCCATCATTATACCTGGACACTGAGGTCCAGCGCCAAGGGCCTTCTGGCGGTTCCCTCCCTGCGAGAAGTGAGGTTACAGGGAACCAGGCAGAGGGCCTTCTTGGTGGTGGCACCTGTGGAATGCCCTCCCTTCAGATGTCAAGGAAATAAACAACTATCTGACTTTTAGAAGACATCTGAAGGCAGCCCTGTTTAGGGAGGCTTTTAAAATTTGGTGAATTATTGTATTTTAATATTTTGCTGGAAGCCACCCAGAGTGGCTGGGGAAACCCAGCCAGATGGCAAAGGTAAAGGGACCCCTGACCGTTCGGTTCAGTCGTGGCCGACTCTGGGGTTGCAGTGCTCATCTCGCTTTACTGGCCGAGGGAGCCGGCGTACAGCTTCTGGGTCATGTGGCCAGCAGGACTAAGCTGCTTCTGGTGAACCAGAGCAGCGCACGGAAATGCCGTTTACCTTCCCGCCAGAGTGGTACCTATTTATCTACTTGCACTTTGACGTGCTTTCAAACTGCTAGGTTGGCAGGAGCAGGGACCGAGCAATGGGAGCTCACCCCGTGGCGGGGATTCGAACCGCCGACCTTCTGATCGGCCAGTCCTAGTCTCTGTGGTTTAACCCACAGCGCCAGATGCTTCTTTTGGGAAACCCACAAGCAGGATTCAAACACAATCCTCTCCCTTCTTCTGTTTTCCTGCAACCAGCTTTGCTGCCCCCAGTGGCGGAGGCAGGGCATAGCCATTGTGGCTCATAGCCGCTGGATAGCCTGAAACCTCCATTAATTCATCTCATCCTCTTTTGAAGCCAATTGGGTTGGTGAGCATTGCTGTCTCCTGTGGCAGGGAGTTCCCCAGTTTAACCACACACTGCGTTAAAAAAAAAGGTCCTCCGTTGTATCCATGCCAAACCTCCCTCTCCCTCCCCTTTTCTCTAAAGAGTCCCCTACGTGAAGGTGTGTTGAACTGTAGAGCTTTCAAATTCCAAAAATGAGGGCTACTCAAAAGTTGCAGCGCGACTTGGGAAGTCAAAATATATTCCGGTTATCATTTAGTTTTGCTTGGGAAGTAAAATGTCTGCAAGGCTGCACAGAAATCATTAAAAATGACAGACAAACTCTTGCAGTTACGAATAGTATTTAAAATTAATACTAATCGTCATTATTATTTAGCATTACCTGACATTTTCAGAAGGTAAGATTAAAACTCGTCGGTTTTCTGAAAGCAGTTTATGTGCTTCTTCCTCAGACATAGACTTCCCAAGCTGAGTATTGTCCAATCACAAAAATAATAGCAGATTTGAATTCCTCACACCCACACACATACTTTTAAGGACCCCGCCCCCTGAAGAAATTTGCAAAAAAATAGTTTCACCTCCTAAAATGGCATGCCCTGCCCAAACCTTTCCTCCTGGCGGAATCACTCAATTTTTCTCGCCTTTTTCCGAATGCTTTCCCCAGCTTTGCAATATCCCTCTTTGAGGAGGGTGTCAGGCTCATAGCTGTCAACTTACAGATTTGAAAATAAGGGACCAGCAGCCTTAAAAATAAGGGATCAGCAGCCAAAATAAGGGATTTTCAGGGCACAGGTATGTTCAGCTTCTGAGCCAAAGGCAGAAAGCCCAGCCAGCAGCCAAACGAAGCTTCAAGTGGTGGTTCCCACAGCGCAGCAACCCGGCAAAGGGGATGCAGCAAGGAAAACCACCGTCACCTTTCTGCTGGGAAGCGCTGAGCAAAGGCGAGTCCCCAGGCAACACGGCCGATTTGATTGGCACAAGGCATGCAAGCTCCACCCCCCAATCGTTCTTAGACTCCTTATTGGGTGAGCAACGCAGCCAAGCAACACAGTTGGAGCCTCCCTCCTCCCTGGCCGGCAGGGAGGGAGGGAGAGGAGCTGCTTCCTTTGAAACCCGGGAAATTTAAAGGGCATCATCAATAAGGGACAGCAGCGGGACACGGCGCTGGGATAAGGGACTTTCCCGCCAAATAAGGGACGGTTGACAGCTATGGTCAGGCTCAGCTAAGACGCCCATCCCGCAGGGTGTAATAACACCCAACAGCCTGAAGGTGTCGCTCAAGAGTGGCTCTTTTTTTCTGGCTACCCACCAGCATCCGGCGGGAGATAGAAGACAAAGATGGCCAGGATGGTAATCAAGATGCAAGGGATAATGACGTTGATGAGGTAGAAGAGGGGCTTCCTTCGAATGATGAGGTAGAAAGTGATGTCCTCATACAGGGGGTCTCCCGGGAGGCTGTTCTTGCGGGACGGTTTGTGCCGGATCTCCCACTGCCCGTTGTCTGCCGAAGGAAAAGACAGAAGCGAAGTTTACTTGGAGGAAATTGCAGTCAAACACAACGATGTGTGATTCCTAGTTAGTGCATGAAGGGGTTAAGACAACAGAGCTGTGTTCCTAGACTCAGTTAGGTCACACCCACTCTTCCGCCTGGCGAGGGAGGAAGTGAAGCCTCCTCTTCCTGTTCCTGTCTCAGTCTCTCCTCACCATGTAACTAACCAAGGAAGATGTGCCTAAGCAAGCTTTCTGTATTCTCTGCAATTATTAACACAAATACAATTCTCTGCTATTATTAAGTTTGCAGATGACACCACCATAATGGCTTTAATAACAGGTGGAGACGAATCAGCGTATAGAGGGGAGGTCCAAAAAATATCTCCATGGTGCCTAGGGAACAACTTGCACCTTAATATCAGCAAGACAAAGGAGATGGTGTTGGACTTTTGGAGGAAGAGAGGAGAACTAGCCCTGCTGTGTGGAGAGAGTCTCTTCCTTTGAATTCCTAGGAGTTTATCTCAGTGAAGACCTTACTTGGAAAATCAATACAACCCAGGTGGTTAAGAAAGCCCAACAGAGACTCCATCTCCTCAGAGTATTGCGGAAGAACAAGGTCAACCAACATTTGATTATCTCCTTCTAATGGTCCACAATAGAAAGTGTCCTTTCATACGGCATCACGGTGTGGTACGCTGGTTTGACATCAACTGATAGGAAGTGCCTACAGAGGTTGGTGAATACAGCAGAAGATATTATGGGCTGTCCCAAAGAACGTTGCCTCAGGAGAGTGAGGAAGATTCTCAGGGATGATTCGCACCCTGGCCGGCACTTTCTTGATCTCCTGCCCTCGGGCAGAAGATATAGAAGCATGATTGGTCGCACCAACAGGGTAAAGAACGGCTTCTATCCGTGGGCTGCTGAATGAAAAGATAACAACAGGGCAACTGACTTTTGGGTTTGGTGGGTGTGCGTCAGTAAACGAGGGGAATTAAGACTAAGACAGCTGAGTGGAGGGTGCTCGTGTAATCTCACTGTATACAAGTTGTACAAGTGACAATAAAGTATTTCAATTTTTTCCAATTTCAATTCCGAGAGTATTCTGCCTATGTTCTCCTTTGCTGCTGCTTGGATAAACGCATGAATCTTACCTTTGGAACTTTTGTAAGTAAAGCATTTTAAACTTACTTAACAGCTTGTTGTCTCTTCATTAGAAAAGGGCTAGAAAGAGGAGAGTGCAGCATACAACTAAACGGGACAAAAGGATCCCAACCACCTATATTCCTGACACTATACTGCTGCTTGACTTTTGCGAATCTAAACTCTGCTACCAGGCATTCTCTGCCGGATCCGGCCCAATATCGCCTTCTCAATCTGGCCCATGGACGGTCCGGGAATCAGCATGTTTTTACATGAGTAGAATGTGTCCTTTTATTTAAAATGCTTCTCTGGGTTATTTGTGGGGCATAGGAATTCGTTCATTATTATTCCCCCCCCTCAATATAGTCCAGCCCCCCACAAGGTCTGAGGGACAGTGGACCAGCCCCCTGCTGAAAAAGTTTGCTGACCCCTGGTCTAAGTTGTCTTTTGGGCCATGCCTTGGGGGGTGTGTGTGTCTAGGGCTCATTTTACCCTTCCTCGTCTAGCCAGCCCCCGCTACGCGCATTTCCCCAGAATCCACCATTCCTCACCGATAAATGTGTTTTCGTAGATGATAATTTCCTTCACCTCCAACCCGTCCTCACCGACTGGGTGGAGAAGGGTGATTTCCGAGGTGTCGTAAGTGTATGAGCGGAAAACCATCGTGCAGTTTTGCCAGTCGAAGGGGAAGTAGGTTACCTGCCGCACAAATACACCCCCCCCAAAAAAAACGAGAGAAAAAAAGGCTGTCATTTTTAAAACTTACAGTACTGTCATGCTCTGTATATTTGTATTTTCTTTTTCCCCCTGAGTCAGACACAACTAAACAACAACAACAGAAACTAAATTTGGGGGCACTGGGCAGATCTTTGTACCCTTGCAGCGCATATTCATTTTATAGTACAGTGGTACCTCGGGTTAAGTACTTAATTCGTTCCAGAGGTCCATTCTTAACCTGAAACTGTTCTTAACCTGAAGCACCACTTTAGCTAATGGGGCCTCCCGCCACTGCTGCGCCGCCGGAGCACGATTTCTGTTCTCATCCTGAAGCAAAGTTCTTAACCTGAAGAACTATTTCTGGCTTAGCGGAGTGTGCAGCCTGAAGCGTCTGTAACCCGAGGTACCCCTGTATTTGTAACCACATCTCATTTATTTATTTTTTATAAAGAAAATCTCACTCACCTGGATACTGCAACTGCTCTTGTAAATGGCTGGCGGCTGCCACCGGACGACTCCTTTGTGATTCACCAGGACGTTGATTGACAGCGCAATGTCAAAGTTGCCGTCGTTGCTGGACAGGGTGGATAAGAGACAAAAACAAGGTTAAGCCGGTGCTTCAGGCCAATAGCCCTTCTAGTCTGGCCTCCTTTTCACACAGCCGCACGCCTGTATGGGAAACCCGCGAGCTGGATCCGAGTGCGAGAGCTCTCCCCCCTATTGTGGTTTAGAGAACATTTTGGTTTCGAGGAAAGGTGAGGAGGAGGTACATCTTCAAGCACAATTCCAAGTGTTGGTGCTGACCTTGAAAGCCCTAAACGGCCTCAAAGGCCCAGTAGACCTGAAGGAGCGTCTCCACCCCCATCGTTCTGCCCGGACACTGAGGTCCAGCTCCGAGGGCCTTCTGGCGGTTCCCTCCCTGCGAGAAGTCATGTCACAGGGAACCAGGCAGAGGGCCTTCTCGGTGGTGGCACCCGCACAGTGGAACACCCTCCCATCAGATGTCAAAGAGATAAACAACTACCAGACTTTTAGAAGACATCTGAAGGCAGCCCTGTTCAGGGAAGTTTGTAATGTTTGATGTTTTATCGTGTTTTTAATATTTTGCTGGAAGCCGCCCAGAGTGGCTGGGGAAACCCAGCCAGATAGGCGGGGTATAAATAATAAATTATTCTTATAGAAGTCTATACAAAAGTGCCTGGCATGGAGAAAGAGGGCAGAGACATGTTTTTCTCCTTCTCCTCCCGTAACGCTTGAACTTGTGTGGAAGCTGAATCATGGGAGATTCAGGACAGGACTTTTTCACTTTTAATCTGCGGAACTCCCTGCCACAGGAGGCAGAGACAGGCACCGACGAGAATGGCTTTAGAAAACGATTGGACCAGTTCATGGAGGAGAAGGTTTGTCAATGGCTTGAGAGCCGAAGAAGAGGCTGCTGATTCAGGCCAGTGGCCCATAATAATAATTTAATAAAAAATTATTATTTATAACCTGCCCATCTGGGTGGATCTCCCCAGACACCCATTATGAGAAGGCCATATTATGGCATTATATGGGAAGGCGAGGGATCCCTGCTGGGAACAGCTCCTCCCTTCCCCGCTGGTCTCTTCCCTTTGACAGCGCCAAGGTTCCTAGTCCTCATCGCCACTCACTTGTTCATTAGGACGATATCCGGGAGCCAGACCTCGTCCGAGAAAAGCCTGACGGAGGTGATGCCGTCATAGTCATCGGGGTCCCAGACGAGGCGGTAGTCGGTCCATGTCTGGTACCCACAGAGAGAGAAAAAGATGTGTTTTATCTCGAGAGGGAGATGAGAGAGTCATTGGAGGAAAGGCAAGAGGAAGGTTATCGTTGGTGCTGACCTTGAAAGCCCTAAACGGCCTCAAAGGCCCAGTATACCCGAATGAGCATCTCCACCCGCATTGTCCAGCCCAGACACTGAGGTCCAGCTCCAAGGGCCTTCTGGGGGTTCCCTCCCTGCGAGAAGTGAGGTTACAGGGAACCAGGCAGAGGGCCTTCTCAGTGGTGGCGCCCGCCCTGTGGAACGCCCTCCCAGCAGATGTCAAGGAAATAAACAGCTATCTGACTTTTAGAAGGCATCTGAAGGCAGCCCTGTTTAGGGAAGCTTTTAACGTTTAATAGGTTATTGTATTTTAGTGTTTTGTTGGAAGCCGCCCAGAGTGGCCGGGGAAACCCAGCCAGATGGGCAGGGTATAAATAAATTATTATTATTATTAATCGCTCCTGGAAAAGTTCCAGTAGACAAAGCATTGCCTGATGGTTTCTGAACATCCTCTCAAGCAGGCAAGTCCAAAGTCTGTTCCGGGGGCCTAATCCAGCCCGCTGGTCGATTAAATCTGGCCCCTTGGGGTAAAATTGTAGCTCAACAACTTCAATCCTAAAAAAAGATCAGCAATCTGGCCCTGTTTGAAAAAGTTTGGGCACCCCTGGGAGAATTCTGTGCCTTTGGAAATGCAGTCGGAGGAGAAACCCCTTGGAACAAAACTGAATTTGGATCCCTTTCTGGCGCTTACCCCAAAAGGGGAGAAGCGTTCGTTTGTCAGGGAGGCAAAGAGAGAGAGAGAGATTTCATTTCCACCTACCAGATCCAAATAGACTTTGGTTGTCAGTTCCTCGTCTTTCTCTGCCTGAAGAAACAAAGAAGAGAAGAAAAGGATTGTCTGATTTTTCAGAGCACTAACGGTTGGCCCAGTCGGAGGGACCACGTTTGCAAGAAACCAATCTTTCAGTATGACGGCAGCTACACTCGGAACTCCCTGCCACTTGACCCCTTCACGGTACTCTATTTGGCACCTGCTAAAAATATTCTCATTCAGGCAAGTTTTTAACCTTTTAACTTTGCGCATATTTTAAACCAGAGGTGAGCAACCTTTTGCAGCAGGAGGCCGGTCCACTGTCCCTCGGACCTTGTGGGGGGCGGACTATATTTTTTTGGGGGGGGAAATGAATGACTTCCTATGCCCCACAAATAACCCAGAGATGGAATTTACATAAAAGGACACATTCTACTCATGTAAAAACATGCTGATTCCTGGACCGTCCGCATCGTGCAGTGTATAAACGAAATCATATAAATGAAACCCACCCACCCTGACAATCTATGCAATAATTTGCAGCCAGTTCCTGCTGGACTGATGCTTGCAAGCTCATCATCATCGTCATCAAAATAAATTAATTCTTGCCCATCTGGAGATTGAAGGTGTTATAAGAATTCTAAGGTCTCAAATATATAAAGTAAATGTTTACAAAGGTACAAGGCAAACACATACATAAGTATATAAACCACGTGTCTGAAATAGTACAGGAGAGCAAGACGCTCCTGTGACGCACTATTTAATTGGGGTCCGCCATTATGGGATAGACTGAGTTGCAGAGATAAACAGTCGTTGGGGAGGCGAGCTCTTAATTTGTTATTATATCTGTACTTCAAGTCCGATTTGGAAAATCTCCCCTGAAAGACTAATGTTTGATGCAACCTGTCTGAGAAAATGAATGAGCAATCGCCTAGATTTTATTTCATCGGAACTGAGAGAAGATGGCGTCTGCCACCAGAGAGGGACTTTTGGATTGATTCGGCATAAACAACAGTGTGTGAGGACATATTGCAAACAACAGACTTATCAGCTGCCAAAAAAGAAAAAGAAAAAAGGAGAGTCAAACAAACTTCACACAGAAGCATATCACTGCTCACTTCAACTCGCCTGTGGAAACAACTCAGAGGCCATGAAGGAAGGAAGGATAACAACAGGAAGATTTAAAGAAGGACCTATTGGAAACTCAAGGCAGAAGCGTAAGATGATTGGAACCCCACTGAACTTAGAATCATAGAATCATAGAGTTGGAAGAGACCACAAGGGCCATCGAGTCCAACCCCCTGCCAAGCAGGAAACACCATCAGAGCACTCCTGACATATGGTTGTCAAGCCTCTGCTTAAAGACCTCCAAAGGAGGAGACTCCACCACACTCCTTGGCAGCAAATTCCACTCTCGAACAGCTCTTACTGTCAGGAAGTTCTTCCGAATGTTTAGGTGGAAACTTCTTTCTTGTAGTTTGGATCCATTGCTCCGTGTCCGCTTCTCTGGAGCAGCAGAAAACAACCTTTCTCCCTCCTCTATGTGACATCCTTTTATATATTTGAACATGGCTATCATATCCCCCCTTAACCTCCTCTTCTCCAGGCTAAACATGCCCAGCTCCCTTAGCCGTTCCTCATAAGGCATCGTTTCCAGGCCTTTGACCATTTTGGTTGCCCTCCTCTGGACACGTTCCAGTTGGTCAGTGTCCTTCTTGAACTGTGGTGCCCAGAACTGGACACAGTACTCCAGGTGAGTAGCCCCAACAAAAAATTATAATTTGGCAAAATATTTGGACTTTATGTATTTGTATAATTTGGAATATTTAATGTGATCTGATCGGATTGTTAAAATGGAAAACTCAATAAAAATCATTATTATTAAAAAAAAAGAAATAGTACAGGAGAGCAATCCTGAAGCCATTTTGACTCTCCCAATGACCTCAAAGCCTTCCGGTTGTCTTTTCGCTTGCAAATCCTGCCTTAAGGGTGTATTTGAGTATGAATAGGGTGAGCCTGTGGCCTGGACTCAGGAACTAAAGTATTTACCATCACAAAAGAATGGCCAGGCTGCCCAGGTAAAGCAATCAGTGACCATTATCAGGTACCCTGGCAGACAGGATTTCCGCTGTAGACCGCCTCCTTCTGTGATGTATGCATGATGTTTTGGGCTACAGGGTGGGCAATTTCAAGAGTCTATATAAGGGCTTGCGCACCATTGTTCTGGGTCCTCCTCCTTTCCTGAGTGTGAAGGGGGCACCCTGTTGCAACAGTTCAATTAAGATTAGGCTTACTAGCTGCTTTGCTTCTCAATATTCTCTGTTATTTTCTCCTACCAATAGGGAACCCACTTAAGGACTCTATATGGGCTCTTGGAGACCCCATAAGGGAAAAGGAGCAGGTTTTTTCCCTTATAACAAGATTAAGTTTTTTTTTTTACCAAAGACTAGGTTTTTTTAAATAAGACTAGGGTTTTTTTAATCAAAAAATTAGGTTTAAAATTGAGGCTCGTCTTATATACTGAGGGATGTTTTCTTAATTTGGAGTCCCCCAAAACATGGGGGCGTCTTATACAGGGAAAAACACGGTAAATTATAATTTGAATTTGCTGGTGTGTGACTCTATCCCATGGGTAGGCAAACTAAGGCCCGGGGGCCGGATCCGGCCCAATCGCCTTCTCAATCCGGCCAGCGGACAGTCCAGGAATCAGTGTGTTTTTACATGAGTAGAATGTGTCCTTTTATTTAAAATGCATCTCTGGGTTATTCGTGGGGCATAGGAATTTGTTCATTATTATTTTTTCCAAAATATAGCCTGCTGTCCGCCCCCAAAGTCCGAGGGACAGTGGACCGGCCCCCTGCTGAAAACGTTTGCTGACCCCTGCTCTATCCCAACTAGAAATAACGAAATAACGAAAGTCTGGAACGGCAGCAGAAACTGCACTGGGAGATGTGCTTTTATTCTATCTCGCTGTTTCTTGGGAAGGAAATTGGGACCATTCCTGGAGGGAGGACGAGCTAAGAGGGACAGGAAGACCTGCCTTCCTTTGTCCTGCGTGGCTCCAGGATTCGGCTATTAATAGCCAGGATCTTCAGCTGTCGAGCTGCCGCCGTTAACTCTTTCCTGGCCCAAGCCCAGAGGAGACATCGAATCACAGGATTGTAAAATTGGAGGGGACCCAAAGGTCATCTATCTCAACCACTCTGGCCAGACCCCTCCTGGAGTCCTGTTGCGTCCAGTTCTGGGCGCCTTAATTTTAGACGGGTGTCGACAAGCTGGAAGGTGCGCAGAAGAGGGTGACCCAAATGATGAAGGGTCTGGAAACTGAATTTTAGGAGGAGCGGTTGAGGAATGGGTGATGTTTAGCCCAGAGAAGAGAGGATATAAGAGCCATCTTCAAAAATCTGAAAGTCTCCTGAAATATACTCGGAGTCGAGAGTGGATTTCATGCTCTTTATTCAGCTCATAGTGGTGAGGAGGAATGGAAGTTCCCCCAGAATGTCTGCTTTCTATACATTATATACACAATGGGCCCCATGTGATTGGCTAATTCCAGGATTCTCCTGTAGGCCAATCAGGTTGCGGATTCACTTCCACCTGGAGCTGGATTGGGTGGCTCCTGTGGACCAATCAGACTGCTGCATTCTGGATCCTATTGTTCTAGCACCAATCAGACTGCTGCATTCTGGATCCTATTGTTCTAGGACCAATCAGACTGCTGCATTCTGAATCCTATTGTTCTAGGACCAATCAGACTGCTGCATTCTGGATCCTATTGTTCTAGGGCCAATCAGACTGCTGCATTCTGAATCCTATTGTTCTAGGACCAATCAGACTGCTGCATTCTGAATCCTATTGTTCTAGGACCAATCAGACTGCTGCATTCTGGATCCTATTGTTCTAGGACCAATCAGATTGCTGCATTCTGGATCCCATTGTTCTAGGATCAATCAGACTGCTGCATACTGGATCCTATTGTTCTAGGACCAATCAGACTGCTGCATTTTGGATGCTATTCAACTCAGTACATAACAGCTCCCTTCTTTTTTCTTACACTTCCAACATACATTTGTCCCAGTTTTATACATTCTTGCAATCTGTACATCATTTTATCTAATTTCCTTTCCAAAGAGAGCAGTCTGTAAATTGTAAGTCTGTTTTCCACAATCTTCCCCAGTCTTCAGACAGTATATTATGGCCTATATCTTGTGCCATAATATTTTATCATAAGTGGTGGGAATGTAGAGGGGGGGAAAGAAGAAAATGTTCAAATTAACATTTGCAAAAAACAACAACACCAGAAGCATTTCTGTTAGGGATTGTAGGAAAAGACCTGCCAAGGAAAATGAAGAACATATTTTACGTATGCGACAACGGCGGCCAGAGTCTTAAACAGCACAAGGATGGAAGAATGAAGAAATCCCGACAAAAGATCGGGGCAAGGGAAATTGATGGACTATGCAGAACTGGCAAAATTGACGTATAAATTGCGTGACAAGGACAACTGTGACTTTAAAGAGGAATGGGAACTTTTTACAAACTACTTAAAAAACAACAACAAATGAACTAGACTCCTTGGAACTTACTGTTGCTAGTTGGGATAGCTCAGTCAGCAGAGAATGAGACTCAAAATCCTTAGGGTCCTGTGTTCGAGTCCCATGTTGGGCAAAAGTTTGGGGGTACCTTCCAACTCTACAATTCCATGACCAAACATTAGGAAGAAATTTATCGTTTTTCTTTATACTTTTCAAGTTTATACATTTCATTACTTTTACAATTGAGCATCTCAAAGTTTGACTTCCTTCCCCCTCTTTCTGCGGCTCCTTAAATTTATTTTTTTAATATCTTCTGCATGTCCACATTCAGTTAATTTGCTCGTTTAATTATCTGCTTTAAATATATACTCTTATGAACCTGCAGGTTATTACAAACATCCTGCCAATGTTTTCATCTCTTTGCAATTTATCTGTAAATATTCAATAAACCGTTTCCATTCTTTTATAAAAAGTTTATCTTGATTTCTTATTCTTCCGGTAAGTTTCGCCATTTCTGCATATTCCATAAGTTTTTGTATCCATTCTTCCTTTGCTGGGACTTCTGCTTCTTCCCACTTTGGGGCAAGTAGCATTTTTGCCGCCGCAGTATAGCATACATAAATAAATCCCTATACAATTTAGGTAGTTCTGCCCCTATAATCCCCCAAAGAAAAGCTTCTGGTTTTTGTTTTGCAAAAGTTATTTTGAACATCCTTTTCAATTCATTGTACAGTCATACCTCGGGTTACAGACGCTTCAGGTTGCGCGTTTTCGGGTTACGGACGCACTGAAACCCGGAAGTACTCAAACGGTACATGCGCAGAAGCACTAAATTGCACTTCGCGCATGCGCAGAAGCGCTGAATCGCGACCCGTGCATGTTGTAGACGCTGCGGGTTGCGAACATGCCTCCCGCATGGATCACGTTTGCAACCCGAGCTTCCACTGTACAGTGGTACCTCGGGTTACATACGCTTCAGGTTACAGACTCGCTAACCCAGAAATAGTGCTTCAGGTTAAGAACTTTGCTTCACGTTGAGAACAGAAATCGTGCTCCAGTGGCGCGGCGGCAGCGGGAGGCCCCATTAGCTAAAGTGGTGCTTCAGGTTAAGAACAGTTTCAGGTTAAGAACGGACCTCCAGAACGAATTAAGTACTTAACCCGAGGTACCACTGTATATCATTTCCTGGTAAGCTTTAACCTTGCTACAAGACCACCACATATGATAAAAAGAACCTTTTTTCTCTTTACATTTCCAACACTTGTTTGATTTAGTAGATTTTTGCCAGTTTACTTGGTGTTAGGTAAAGGTAAAGGGACCCCTGACCTTTAAGTCCAGTCGCGAACGACTCTGGGGTTTTGGCGCTCATCTTGCTTTATTGGCCGAGGGAGCCGGCGTACAGCTTCCGGGTCATGTGGCCAGCATGACTAAGCCGCTTCTGGCGAACCAGAGCAGCGCACAGAAACGCCGTTTACCTTCCCGCCAGAGCGGTCCCTATTTATCTACTTGCACTTGACGTGCTTTCGAACTGCTAGGTTGGCAGGAGCAGGGACCGAGCAACGGGAGCTCACCCCGTCCCAGGGATTCAAACTGCCGACCTTCTGATCGGCAAGTCCTAGGCTCTGTGGTTTAGACCACAGCGCCACCCGCATCTCTTACTCAGTGTTAGATACCAGCAATATACCATTTTCACACAATTTAGGAAGAACTTTCTGAAGGCAAGAGTCATTTGACTGCGGAATGGACTCCCTAAGAGGTTTGGAGGTTTCGAAGCAGCGATTCGATGGCCACCTGCCAGGGATTTTTTAGCAGCGATTCCTGGTTGGATTAGATGACCTTTGGGGGTCCCGACTCTACAATTCCAGATTCTACGAAGCGCTTGCAATGCAGGAATCAGCCCCATATTTTGAATATCCGGACAGGTTCCGTTTAGAGGAAAACCCGGGTTGAATCTAAAGAGACCGACTCTCTGCATCACTGTGACATCCACCAGATTTGCACAGCGCCCCTTCTGCACTGTCGCCCCCTGCTGTTCCCCCGCGGTATTGCGCCAACAGGAAAAGGAAGCCAGGCTGCCCTCTGCAGGCAAGAGCAGCAGGGTTCTGATTGGCTGCCGTGCCGCCGATGAGGAGATTTCACCCCTCCCATACCCAAGAATCTCCTGATGATCTCCTGATGGTCTCTGCTGACTCTCCAGAGAGGAGGAGGCGTATCCTGCTATCTACTTATTCTGCCCAGCACCACATCAATCAGTCAGTGTGTGTGTGAGAGAGTCAGTCAGTCAGTGTATCGGAGAAAGTGAGAGTGTTAGAGATTCTAGAGATAAGATTGCTGCTAAGAGCAGCTGCAGACTCTCAGTGTAGCATTGATTTATGCTTAGAATATTCAGCTCTGTATATAGTTTTGTATCATAGTTGTAGTTACAGAATAAAAGGAAGATATTCTACAGAGCTGCTCTCCAAGTGGTTTATACTCTGCAAGACTCTGCAAAACTCTGCTGCGCAACGACTGTATTATTGAGACAGTGAATCCGGTGCTCTCAGCTCTAAGCTGTGAGTCCACAGCACTGTGACCTGTTCCTGTGAGAAAGGAGGTCTCTGGCGGTGCTACCCAGCTCGCCTAGCCCAGTCGGGGCTGAAGTGTATGAGTCCAGTTGGTGGCACTGGCTCAAGGGTGATGCTGACAGCCACACCTCCCCCTGCTGGCAGCTCCAAGTCCTGCACCCTCTCCAAGCCGCAAGGTCCAAAAGACCCTTCGCTCACCAGGCTGATCAGCTGTGAGAGCGACATCCCGATGCGGACGGGGACTCTGTCGTCGACGCTGCGGACGGGCAGGATTGTCTTGGAGTAGTTCTGGGCAAGTTTATCTACCAGGCGGCCCTCGACTTCTGAGCAGCTCACAACTGGAGAGAGAGAGAGAGAGAGAGAGAGAGAGAGAGAGTCTCATTTTGACTTCTGCAACACAGACCATTGGGAAAGTCCAACGTTGGAACGGAACTGAGGAGTTGGAAGGGACCCCCAAAGGCCATCTAGCCGAACCCCCGCAACGCAGGAATTGCATCTGAAGTATCCCCAACGGACATCCAGCCGACCTCTCTTTAAAATCCTCCGACGAAGCCCAGATTTGTGGCATTGAAAGCGATTTTTTTAAAAAGGTTGTTTTTTAAAATTAAATTTTGGTTTTAGAATATTCACTTCAACCACCTTAAACTCCCTTTCCGTGGTTCATTTTGCACAACAGAAATCCCTGCGTATTTTGCATAAACCGAACCATTCGGTACTCCATCCCTCAAAACTTATTTGCACTGTTGAATTTATCTTCACGCAGCCGGCGTTTTCAAACAGAAGGGATCTCCGAGAATCATCCAGCTGTACCCTCTGCAATGCAGAAATCACTTCTTCTTTTTATTGACTTAACAATTTTTTTATACAGACAGCAAAACAAAGGGGGTAAATTAACATTGCCTTCTACCGATAAGAAATAATAATAACTATTACAATAATGGCAATACTAAAAGTACATTTACTTCCGCTTTTAAACTTCTGTTCTGGTTACAATATATTGCTGTTCTATAAGGATCTATTATATCCTTTGCTGTCCTATATATTATTTTATTTCCCAAATTCAACCCAACCCTCCCCTCCTCCCCACGGCCTCCCTTCACCTGTGTGAGCAGAAATCACTTCTATTTAGCGCCGACGGCGTTGCCTTGTCTCTCCACCATTTCTGCATCCTGGAACTGCTAACAGTTATTAGGATCCCCGTATACTAGTTTTTTTACATTTATCCTGGTGTCGAAACGGCTAACTTACCTTACTTCTGGCCTGAAATGTGGAATTTGCATTGTATTATTTGCACCTGAGCCTATCCGCGATTTATTTATTTGCTTGCTAAATTCATACCCCATCTGCTCCTCCGAGAAGCTGACGTTCACGTTTCTCCCCCTCCTCATTTAATCCTCACAACAAGCCCTGTGAGGTAAGCCAGTGAGCGGGGATTCGAACCCAGCTCTCTCGCGGGTCACGGCGCGGTACTCTAACCACTGCACTGTCTCTCTTTAGGGATGCTGCAGACCACTCGGAGGTTAGTTTGAAAGAAGCAGCAGAAGCGATATAATAATATTTTTGATGAAATATAATAATAAAAATAAATAAATAAATAATAATAATAATAATAATAATAATAATAATAATAATAATATAATCGTTATAATAATATTTTTGACCGCCATTTAAAACGACACTCTTCGGCGCTGAATTACCCAACAGCAAGACAGAGAGAACAGGGTTAGGGCACCGTCAAAGCACAGAAAAAACCCAAGATTTTCCAAATAAAATAAGAACAATTTGGCATTTGGTAATTCAAGAAAAGCATCGATGCAGTTGTAGAAACTTTGTAGGACTTCATTATTCTCCATGCAACGCTTCCCTGAGATATTTCGTTCTCCTTTTATTTCTCATCATGTCAGGAAATCAGATCGGGTGCACTGCAACAAATCCCTTTCATTTCATTCCCCGAATTTCTCAACTTTATATTCTTTTTATGACATGTTAAGGAAGACGCAGAGATCTTTCCAGGGCCTCTGGAAACCCCGAATCAATAAACGAGGCTGCGCTTAATTCTCCAGGCTGCAAATATATATATATATATATATATAGCAAGGGGAGGTTTCCACAACGATCTGAACGGATAGGAGCTTTTATCGCTCCCTTCTCACACTTATATATTCCTTTTTATTCTCCTCCTCCCCATTTTCTCCTCACAACTACCACCCTGTGGCGAGAGGCAATTTTGAATTTATTGCCGTTCACGTTTTATACTGCATTTTACGCCGTGTTTTTTCTTGCATCCATTGTTTTAAATTTGTGATGGGAAAAGGAATCATCTGTGGGACTGAATGTAGGTATGTTTGTATATATTTAAGGATTGTGTGAAATGTATGCTTGTATATTCGCAATATGTGCGTATGAATGCCGAATTATTTTAACAATAAAAACTTATTAAAAAAACAAATAAAATTGTCGTTAGGCGCCCTGAGCCCGGTTTTCTGAACCGGGAAGGGCGGGGTATAAATAAAAATTTATTATTCTTATTAATTATGGGCTCGGGTGGGGGATTCGAATCCGGGACCCGACACCCTAACCACTACACCAGCTGCCCCAAACCCCTCTCCCACATCGCAGGGTGGACTTTATTAGGAGGAAAAAGGAAAACACTCACCCAGGACACAAAGAGACCACAGGAGACCCCAGAGGATGGCTCGGCCCGCCATGATATCCCTTGTTTATCTGTGAGGTCCCAGAAAGAACTGACCCCCATCCAGCCACCCCCAGCCCCAGCCCCCAAGGCCATACAATAGCATCTTATTGGCGTTGGCACCTGTCAGTCAACAGGAAACTGGAACGGACAGCAGGGTTTGTCCGGCGAGCGAAGATTGTATTACTGGTTGGCATCTCACAGCTGTCGTGGGATTTCCGGCCGGACCACCTGTTCCCAGAAAGGCCCTCCAGAAAAGGCCTCTATTTCATATATTTTTTTAAAGCCTCTCCGGCTGCAGGAATCACAAGCCAGACCGTATAACCAGCCGTATAACCGGCTCGGCCGAACTTCGAGACCAAAGTGCCAGACTCTGGCAGGCAGCATTCCTGAACCCGGTTCCAAAACCTGGAAGCGGATCGTTGGAGAAACTGGAGCCGGAAGAAGAGAGCATCAGGGATTGGGGAAACTGTGAGCCGGATCCTGTTCTGGAGTTTGGAATGGGGAGGGAAGGCCAGAGATGGAGTCACACTGGACTGGAGCCAAAACTATATAAATACCGTATATATGGAAGAGGCGATGGGCTCCAGCCCAGCTTTGCGTTGGAAAAGGACTCCGGTTCAATCGCTAGGGACAGATATAAGCAGCTCAGAAGAGCCCTGCAGGATCAGGCCAATAGCCCATCTAATCACAGAATCGTAGGGAACCCCAAAGGTCATCCATCCCAACCCCTTGCAATGCAGGAACCTTTTGCCCAATGTGGGATTCGAACCCCGAACCCTGAGATTAAAAGTCTCCTGCTCTACCAACTGAGCTAGTCTCTCTCCAGCATCTCGCCCTCAGAGTGGCCAAGCAGCCGCCCGTTATGTGAAACCGACGATCAGGATTCGAACCCAAGTCCGGCTCTCTCCTCCTGTGGCCCCTAACAACTGGCCTTCAGAAGAAGAGCCATCGCGGCTAGTAGCCGCCCCATAGCCTTTATCCTCACTGAGTTTGTCCAATCCTCTTTTAACGCCGTCAAGTTTGGTAGCCGTTGCCGCCTCAAGTGGCAGGGAGTTCCGCAGTTTAACAATGCGCAAAGAAGTCCCGACTCTTCCAGCATTCAGCTGCATGGGACGCCCACGTGTCCGAGCCAAGGAGGGAACCTTAAAAAGGAGACTGGGGAGGAAATCCCCAGCGTGTCTGGATTGTAGAATGGTTGAGTTCAGAGGGGCACCTAGTGGTCATCCAGCCGAACCCCCCATGCAATGCTGAAAGGACGGCTGAAGAATCCCCAACAGGCAGCCACCCAAACCTTCGGCGGACGAGAGACATCACAGTTGTAGTGGGTCCCCCAAAGGTCATCCATCCCAACCCCGCCTCCAGATACTCACAGAGACAAGCCAGGTAGAACAATAGAAATTTTTTAATTATTATTATTATTTCCAGAGTGCAGGACAAAAGGGGTGGGGGGCAAGGAGATTCTCGGCCCATCGCACCAGGTTTATGGAAAGGGGAGGTTTTTAAGTTATTGCTGAGAGGGAGCCGGTTTCTCATGCAAGGGAGTCAGGGCCAAAGGCAGAGAGGATTCCTGCAATTATTGCTTTTCTGTGCTGGTTAAAGGGGAGGGGGGAGAAGAAGGCGGGAGTAGGGGCGGAGCCAAGGAGGCCAAGCCCCGCCTCCTCCAGCGGTTGTCAAGTGTCCATGGTTTGTAGCAAAATGGTGGCACACATCTGGGAGCGGAAAGGTTTCTGATCCCAAAATTAAACACGCCCCAAAATGCAGTTTTTTTCTGACTTCCAATCGAGACGGTGCAACTCAAACTCCCAAACAGGGAGATCTGAAATTTGGAGGGGAATTTATTTCCGAAAGGCTGGTTCTTCTGCAAAGAGATTTGAAATCCCATTTTTCCATTTCAGATCTGGAAGCAAAATGAAAAGGATTTTGAAATCTGGGAATCGGGGAGTTTGCTTTTCATCAGTGCTTTTTTGGGGGGGGCACAGGGGTACGCAAACCCCTAAACGTTTTGCGAATCGTCGTACTTTTGTCTGTGTAGTCTTTATTTCCCCCGATCTGAACTATAAAACGGTGGTTTTCTTGAGTCAAAACGAGGGGAACTTCAGTAATCGCTGCAAGTTAGCCACGAGAGTGAAGATATATTGAGAAAAAGTTAAATGATGATAAAAGTGTGTGTTGGCAATAATTAATATGAAATTGAAATAAGGAATATATGGGGGGTCGGGTCTATAGTGTTAAGAGCAACTTATGTTTTATGGTTTGTTAAGAAAATTTTGTGTTTATTGTTATTCCTGTGTGTAATCCTGTATCTGTGTTTTTTTCTTTTTTTGCTGTATCAATTAAAAAGAGAGAGTGAGGAACCTGAACATTTTTCAAAGAAAAAAAGGACTGCTTTTCAGAACATCCCAACTTCTTAGCCCAATTCAAAATGAGAGGGGTTCTTTGGGTTGATTTTAGGTTTATAATTTCTCCCCCAAATTTGATTTTTGTACTGGGCCGAGGAATTAGGATGTTCCAGAAAGCAAACAGTCCCATTCCCAGATTTCAAAATGCTTTTGTTCCCCCCCCCACAACAAAAAAGGGGGTGGGAATATACATGGTGAAGATTTCAAATCTGGTTCAGAAATCGGAGTGGGGTTTGGAAAGATTTTTCATTCTGGAATCCCTTCACAATGTGGAAGGGACCTGAGGGTCATCCAGACCAACCCCTTGCAAGGCGGGAATCGAACTCGGAACCACGGAACCACGTTTGTGCCTGGCAACCTCTGGAGAAGTTGGAGAACGGAGGGGAAGGAGAGGTGGAGGGAGGGAGAAAGAAAGAAAGGAAGGAGAGAAGGGAGTGGGGAAGACCCAGGGAACCCCACACACAGGGAGGCAGGAGAGGGGTGTTTAATGCCAAAGGAGACCAGGCAGAGTTGGACTCCCAGCCCTCGCTCTCCCACGGCCCTGTCCTTCGGCTGAGGCATTAAGGTGGCTGGGAGGAAGGAGATTATACAGAATTATATACACAGTACAGCCTTCAGATATAAAGTTCGCACGCACAAAAAAAAAAAAAAAAAAAAAGGTGGGGGAAAGAGGTTAGATTTCGAACCCGCAACCTTTCGCACCAGCCAGTCGCTCTGAACCGCTCGCTTGGTACTGGTGCAATTGCGACGTCCGTACATGCGAACACACACACACACACACACACGTTCAAGAAATGTGTTGCAGGAAGGTGAGGGCAAGAATTCATCACCCAGCAGTGAAATGGTTAAAGCCGCGGCAGGAAATGGGGCGTTGCAGGGCCCATAGAGTTGGAAAGGAGACCCCCCCCACAGGGTCCAACCCCCCCTGCGTTGCAGGATGAATAATCCCAAATAAGTGGCCTCCAACATCTGCTTAAAAACCTCGAGTGAATCATAGACATAGAGTTCCTGCAATTCCAGAATCGCAACTAAAGAAATGTAATCATAATGACAACCATCGTTGGGATTTCCTTTCTTGACATTCGAATCCCTCGGTTTGGGTCCTTTCTCTCTGGATTATCAGAAAGCAAGCTTGCTCCCTCTCCCGTGACGGGACAGCCTTTCAGATACAGTGGTACCTCAGGTTACATATGCTTCAGGTTACATACGCTTCAGGTTACAGACTCCGCTAACCCAGAAATAGTGCTTCAGGTTAAGAACTTTGCTTCAGGATGAGAACAGAAATTGGGCTCCTGCGGCGCAGCAGCAGCGGGAGGCCCCATTAGCTAAAGTGGTACCTCAGGTTAAGAACAGTTTCAGGTTAAGAACGGACCTCCGGAACGAATTAAGTACTTAACCCGAGGTACCACTGTATTTGATGACGGCTGCCGCACGTCTGAATCTATACAACTCCATTTGGGCAGGATGATAAAAAAGACGCAGCGATGTGGTGTGTGTGTGTTTGCGCATGGAAGAGATCATTTGCGCACAACCCCCCCGAAAGAGAAAACCAAGCAGCTCACTCAAAACATTGCACCAGTCGGTCGATCCATGCGCTTCCCACTGGCCCTACACACCGCCCACTGGTGGCCGGGCGGAGAATTGCTCCCCTGTGTGCCTTTTCCTTTTTCCGGGAAGCTGTCGCCCCCTTGTGGCCGCACCTTGCAAAGACACCGTTGCGCCCCTGCTGGATCCTCAGCAGAGAAATTCCTGAGTTCGCTTGAACCCTGTAGCCATTGGACAGGAGGGGATAAGGAGAGGGGGTCGGCCTGGTTTCAGACTCGAGGGTGGCAGCGGGTGCCCGGGACACCTATGGCTCTGGCTGGGCGCGGTCACCGCCAGGAGGAAGACAAGATAGGTAGTCACTGCCGCATATGGCTCATTAAAGCATCGGGCCTGATTGTGGAATCGTAGGGTCGGGACACCCCGAAGGGCATCTAGCCCAACCCGCCGCGGAGCAGGTCCCGCGTGCAAAGAATCCCCTGGATATCCCGTTTGTTGGTCCCTTCCTGCTCTCTGTTGGCTGGACAGAGATCGGATCTCTCTTTCAAACATGGCTCGGTAAGGATGGAGCAGGGCGAGGCGAATTTCGAACCCGGGGCCAAGGGGTGGGGGGGTGGGGAAGGCATTGCGGAACCCAGGCCCAGCTTTCTGGAAGAGGGTCTAATGCAGCCTGGCGCCCCAGATGTTTTCAGACTATTCCCATGGGAGTTGTAGTCCAAAAAGGACCTGGGGGGCGCCAGGTTGGAGGAGGATGGACTAGTGGTTTCTGAGATTTGAACCCGGGATCCCAGGGCTTTTTTGTGGTGTGTGGGGGGGCAGCTTAGCTCAGTGGCTGTGTGGAATTACAACATGCGTCCATGGATGGGCAGGAAGGATGGGGGAATGGGGAACAGGAAACACCCCCCGTTCTCTAGCAGGGATTGGAGTTGGGACACCCCAAAGGTCATCCAGCCCAACCCCAATGCAACGGTCCCGGGTTCGTTTTCTGAAAGACAAACACAGGGCAATGCGAGATACATTTCAAAAAACTATTCTGCATCCATCCACCCCCCACCCTAGAGACCCCTCCGAACCCCTTCCCCGAACCCCACAAGTATTAATAAATGCTGCCCCCTCGCAGAACACGGGTTCGAATTGGCTTACCCCCCCAACCCCCCTCAGTCTCGTTCATTTATGGCCTGGATTGGAGTATGGCGAATCTTGGCTCTGGGATGCAGGAGGAGGAATCAGGGTTGGGGGTGTCAAAATGGTGGTGGGTTTTTTTTGGGGGGGCGGGCGCAGAGTTTTATGGCATGCACCCTCCCCCGAGTTATTGGCTATTTGTTCCCCAATAAGGTCCATGCGCTGGGAAGATCATCAAGATGTTGCAAATTATGTTTTTTGGGGGGTGTCCAGATTGCGATCTCCACCCCCGCAGGCCAGTATGACAGTGTCGCCACTCAGTGGCCAAATATGGTTATTGCATTTTCTTCTTTTGCAGTGGAAGCTGGGAAAACGCCCCTTGGCGTGAACGCAATGCTGCCATCCGGTGGCCGGAGGTGGGTATGACACTTGTTAGTTTCGCAGGCTGCAAAATGTTCTTGGTTCCTGATAGCGCAATGTCGGCCCCCGGTGGCTGAAATCAGAAATACAGTCTTCTTGCTCCAGAACACAGGGTAGCCCTTTGCATCACGAGTGTCCGGAACTGGCATTGCAATTTTTGTTTTGTTTTTTTGTGGGGACGGACAGTCATTACGTTTTTCATTTTAAAAAAGTACCCACAAACGAAGAAAAAGATTCCACTTAATAGTGTTTAGATGGTTTTGCTTTGAAGGTTTCTCCCCAGTTTTTACATCCTGGGGCCTTCTGGAGGCAGAAGACAGTCTCAGCTACCTGAACTGGTTAAACCAAGAGTCAATTCGGGCCCCCCCCGCCCGACCCCCATATAACCACCTGCCGCGGTTATTCACAAATCCCAAAAGACCAGCGGTGAAATTATATACATCCCGCAGCAATTCCAGATTGGAGAATGTCGCCCTCCGATGGCGGAAAAGGGGATAGCACAGTTGTCACGAAATCGAAACCCCCCCTCCAAACCCCACCCCCCAGAGTAGGAAACTGTGTCGTTTTCCATTGGCTGTTAGAAGAACGTCGACACACTTTTTTTTGAAAACACTTGCCGCTCTCCTTCTCCCTGAAGTTGTGCCGTCCACCTTGGCGAAGACGTTGCGCCATTTTGGAAGACTGCTGTGGATCGGTTGGGTTGCAAAAAACGCCGCTTTTATCCCTGACGAGACGCAACAACTTCTGCAATAGGGAAGCCGGAAGCCCCATACACAGTGGATTTGTCACAGTTTGGAAGAAGAAGAAAAATCCCGGCGTCGCAATGTCACCCCCGTGTGGCCGGAGGCCGTATTGCACCTGTAAGTGCAAAACGGAAGACTTGTTTTTCCCCCCCTCGTCCAAGTTGGCGGCCGACGACGGACCTCCTCCTTTCCCGGCCGGATCCTGTCCGGGTCCAAAGTCCCGCAGAGGCGGAAGACAGCGAGAGAGGAGGGGAGACACATCCTGAGAGAAGATGGAAGATCCGTGAAGGTGTGTTTGGGAAGCTGTTTCTTGGCCGGCGGCCGTCTCGGAGGTGTGGGGTGGTAGTGTGTGCAGGCGGCTTGCACGGGGGAGGAATGGGGGGTGGAGGAGAAGGGGCACCCCCCCCATTCCTCGGGGCTACGTGGCTTCCGCCTTGGAGATCTCTTTGACGGGCGCGGCGGCGGCACCGGCCTCCTCTGCCTTCTTCGCCAGGACCGGCTCCACCACGTTGTGTAAGGAAGGCTCGCGATACAAGGCCACTGCGGAGGAAGAAAGGGGGAAAGGGTTAAAACGGACTACGATTCCCATCGGCCCCCAGTCGCGGGGAACCAAAGCGCCCCCCCATGAAGGAAGACCTCGCCTGGGCTCCTGCCAGTTCTCTGAGCCGGCCTGCCGCCTTCCTCTTCGGGCAAAGGTGGCAGAGCCGTGCGGCACACAGTTAAACGGCGGAACTCCCCGCCACAGGACGCAGCGGCGGCGGCCACCAAAATTGGCAACTTCCCTTTAGATATTTGAAGATGGCTCTCCGATCTCCTCTTTTCCAAGCTAAACACCCCCAACTCCTTCCAATTGTTCCTTTTTCAAGCCTTCCAGCTTGCCAGTTTCCTCCTTCGTACAATAAACCTGTGGCTTAAAAACCGGACTAATCCTAGCCTATTTGCCATGCTGCAGTAATTCTGGTTTACTCACGAGTAAGCAGCGAGGTTGGCTGGCTTCGGAGAAAGTCTAGACTGGATCCCCGATGGAAGGAGGAAACGGGCGGGATTGAGGTTTGATGCATAGCTGTCAACTTTCCCCTTTTCTTGCGAGGAATCCTACTCAGAATAAGGGAATTTCCCTTTAAAAAAAAGGGAAACGTTGACAGCTATGGTTTGATGAGGCCCCGAGCTACTGAAGGTAATGGGGCCCTTTCTATGTCCAGCTGTCCTTTGTCAACAACAAATTGTTGCTGTTTTTTGTGTGTTGAATATATGCCTTATGGTCATTTATGGACCGAATAGGTATCTGAAGCCATTTGCCCCTGTTGCCCTGCAACCAGTCCATGCAGAATGTAGGCACCCTATATATAGAAAGGAACAAACCAGGGATATTTTAGGGAGCAGGCGAGGCCCATGACTTACATCCTAGGAGCCTACAAAACACAAAACCCTGTTGCTATAGGTTTAATTTTATTTGTTTTTTCTCTTATATTTTGGGATGCGGGTGGCGCTGTGGGTTAAACCACAGAGCCTAGGACTTGCCGATCAGACGGTCGGCGGTTCAGACTCCTGCGACGGGGTGAGCTCCCGTTGCTCAGTCCCTGCTCCTGCCAACCTAGCAGTTCGAAAGCACATCAAAGTGCAAGTAGATAAATAGGTAACGCTCCAGCGGGAAGGTAAACGGCCTTTCCGTGCGCTGCTCTGGTTCGTCAGAAGCGGCTTAGTCATGCTGGCCACATGACCCGGAAGCTGTACGCCGGCTCCCTCGGCCAATAAAGCGAGATGAGCGGCGCAGCCCCAGAGTCGGTCATGACTGGACCTAATGGTCAGGGGTCCCTTTACCTTTACCTTTACTCTATAATGGTCAGGGGTCCCTTTACCTTTACTCTTTACATAAATCCGGCACTGGCCTTCTGCCCTGTCCATCGTCTCTTCCTGACCAATAAGATTCAGAATCTGTTTCTCAGGACTCTCTCAGCTAGGCATCTGAAATACAGTGGTACCCCGGGTTAAGTACTTAATTCGTTCTGGAGGTCTGTTCTTAACCTGAAACTGTTCTTAACCTGAAGCACCACTTTAGCTAAGGGGCCTCCCGCTGCCGCCAGAGCCCGATTTCTGTCCTCATCTTGAAGCAAAGTTCTTAACCTGAAGCACTATTTCTGGGTTAGTGGAGTCTGTAACCTGAAGCGTCTGTAACCTGAAGCAACTGGGAGGAATATGCAAGGACAGACCGGCTCATAGGAAGGCTGGGAGTGGATCGGAGCTTTCCTTCACGGCTGTGCAAGAGATCACGTGCGCCGGGAGCAGAGGCACCGCCAGAGATCACTCGCACGGCACCGAGAACCGGGGCTTTCTCTCCCAAACGCCCCCCACCCGCCTCTGCTCACCTTCCAGCAGTTTGGGCAGGAAGTGGGCGGCGGCTTTGGTCTTCTTGACTCGGTTTCCCTTCATCACCTGCCCGTCTTTGTTGATGCCCAGGTACCACGACCGCCCAGACTCCCTCTGCCGGTAGAGCGTGGAGGAATACATGACGTAATAGTTCTCAAAGACGCACTCCTTGAAACGGCACTCGGCGGTGAAGTGAGTCTGGAGGGGGGAGAGGTTTGTTAGATTCACTGATTTAAAAAAAAAGACATTTATCTACTGCTCTCTATAAATGTGCCTGCATTGGTGGTTCAGTGGTAGAATTCTCGCCTGCCACGCAGGAGGCCCGGGTTCGATTCCCGGCCAATGGAACTCTGTTTTAGGGACGCGGGTGGCGCTGTGGGTTAAACCACAGAGCCTAGGGCTTGCCGATCAGAAGGTCGGCGGTTAAAATCCCCACAATGACGGGGTGAGCTCCCGTTGCTCAGTCCCTGCTCCTGCCAACCTAGCAGTTCAAAAGCACATCAAAGTGCAAGTAGATAAATAGGTACCTTCTCTGGCGGGAAGGTAAACGGCGTTTCCGTGCGCTGCTCTGGTTCGCCAGAAGTGGCTTAGTCCTGCTGGCCACATGACCCGGAAGCTGTACGCCGGCTCCCTCGGCCAGTAAAGCGAGATGAGCGCCACAACCCCAGAGTCAGTCACGACTGGACCTAATGGTCAGGGGTCCCTTTACCTTTACTCTATAAATATGTGCAGGGGTTAAGAGAGAGACCGGGGTTCGAATCTCGCTACGAAGCTCGCCAACTGACCCTGGGCCAGCCTGAGATACATCACAGGGTTGTTGTGGCTGGGGCAAAGCAGATGGAAGGGTGGGGTACAAATAATAATAATAATAATAATAATAATAATAATAATAATAATGGGAGGAGGTAACTATTTATGCCCACTTGAACTCCTTGGAGACAAAGGTGGCCGACAAATGCTATGAATAAATGAAGGAAATCGCAGCTGCTTACAACAATTGTACAGAAAGCCGTATGATAAAAAAGCATATCAAAAGTTAAAACCAGAAATCAGCTAGCCATCGTGCCAATACAGTGGTCCCTTGGTTCTCAAACACCTTGGTACTCAAACAACTTGGAACCCAAACGCTGCAAACCCAGAAATAAGTGTTCTGGTTTGCGAACTTTTTTCAGAAGCCGAATGTGCTCCGTTTTGAGTGTTACACTTCCGATCTGAGTGTTACGCTGAAGTCTGTCTGTTTTTGCTATTTATTTTGCAAAATTCACATTAAATGGATGGCAAAATTCATGTTAAATGGCTGTTTTAGGGGTTGTTTTTAAAAGTCTGCAACAGATTAATCCATTTTGCATTACTTCCTATGGGAAAGCACACCTTTGTTTTTGGAACGCTTTGGTTTTGGAATGGACTTCTGGAACGGATTAAGTTTGAGAACCAAGGTACCACTGTATTTATTCTTAACCGCTTACATAGGCCTGGAAGAACAGAAAAGTTTTCAGCAGGCATTGAACGTTGGCCCTGACATTGGCTGCTGAATTTCTCTTGGCAGGGAGTTCCACAGGCTGATGACACTAAAGGCTTGGTTTTTCGTTGTGATTCCTGCACTGGACTAGAGGACATCTTCCAGCTTCCCCAGAGTGGCTGGGGAAACTCAGCCAGATAGGCGGGGTATAAATAATAAAAGGTAAAGGTAAAGGTACCCCTGCCCGTACGGGCCAGTCTTGACAGACTCTAGGGTTGTGCGCCCATCTCACTCTAAAGGCCGGGAGCCAGCGCTGTCCGCAGACACTTCCGGGTCACGTGGCCAGCGTGACAAAGCTGCTCTGGCAAGCCAGAGCCGCACACGGAAACGCCGTTTACCTTCCCGCTAGTAAGCGGTCCCTATTTATCTACTTGCACCCGAGGGTGCTTTCGAACTGCTAGGTTGGCAGGAGCAGGGACCGAGCAACGGGAGCGCACCCTGCCGCGGGGATTCGAACCGCCGACCTTTCGATCGGCAAGCCCTAGGCGCTGAGGCTTTTACCCACAGCGCCACCCGCGTCCCAGTATAAATAATAAATTATTATTAAATTATTATTGCTCTACAACTCTATGTACATAGATAGTGCTGCATAAGAAAACACTTTATTTCATCACTGCAAACAATCAAAGAAAACGCAATGTATCTATATACAACAGATCAACCATTAAAATATATATATATATAAATCAACTATTTTGAAACCATTATACATCCCTCCGGCTCTCTTGGAGGAAAAGCTGGAGATGTAATAAAATACCACTCCGAAAAGAGGAGAAAAAAAACCATTTATGCAAACACTGGCTTGTTTTGACAGCTGCCTGCCACTAGGTGGCGCTGCCCAACACCAGATGGACACCCTTATTAGATCACCCACAGGAACGGTGGGTCTCCCCAGGATACCTGGGTCCCCATCCCAGAATCGTGAGGCCGAAGGCGCCAGCGGATCCATAACGTTAATGAGAGCAAAGTGTCCCGGCCGATCAAGCACCCCAGCTACTTTTATTCACTCCCAAGCCACCAGCCGCCATCATTTTCACTGCCAAATTTCTTCAAAGCTGTTTAATTGGCACTAAAAAGGCGTCTTAAGATGCGCCAAGAGATCTGTGGGGGAGGGAGGAGGAAAAATCCCTCCCAAGAGATTTCTGCAGGGATCAGGGGAAAGAAGATGGGGAGGTTATTTCACCCCACAGATCCCTGGCCTATCTCCTTTAGCAGGCGTGCAAGTTCAATTTTTGCATTTTTCTTCACCCAGTTCTTTTTATTGATTTCCCATAATTTTTTAAAAACAAATCGTGACCAAATTAATACAAATTAAAAAGCTGACATCCCACCCTTTTTGCCCCTCTAGTTTCCTTCCCCTTGTGCCGTTCCCAGCTTTGAATGTCTGACGTAGATTTTTTCAGTTTCGTTGTTCCGTATGGGACAACGACAATAAAGACTGTCGTATCGTATCGTATCGTATCGTATAAGATTTCCAACCTTCAACCCCTCTCCCTACACGTCACCTGTTCGACTGAGGCTTTTATACATTATACATTTCCTGTGATGAGGCTGCATTTTAATGTTTTAATGTTGTATTTTAATCTTGTTTTTAAGTTGTATTCATTCAACTTGTTTTTATTATTGCTTGTTAGCCGCCCTGAGCCCTTGACTGGGGAGGGTGGGGTATAAATAAAATTCTATTATTATTATTATTATTATTATTATTATTATTATTATTATCATCATCACCTGCCCTCAAAGCAGACAAGCAGATCAGATCTTCCTTTATGTATCTATAATAGCCCTTAATCAATTTTAAAACATCCCTTTTCCGGTAGCTCTTGAATAATCCTATTCCCTCCCAGGCAGCCTTGCTTTAGCGTCTAGGATGGGGGTAGGGAACCGCAGTCCTGGGTGCAGAATGTGGCCCTTCAAGCATTGCTTTCTGGCCCTGGGGAGCCTCCCAGGCCACGCCCCCTGCCCCAAGCCACACCCCTCTCTGCTCCTGATTGGCACCTCCATTGTTTCTCACCCAGCTGTGCTTAATCTCCCAGGACAGAGAGGGGCGTGTCAAGAGAGAATTCATATTCAGGGCCCCACCCACTTTTGCCTTTGGCTCCGCCCACCACAGGCAAACGGCCCTCGCGAGCCTTCCAGGAAGCGAATGCGGCCCTCTCTCGAGGCGTCGAGAGAGCTGGCGCTGCGCTCATGTCCCGTTTGGGGGAAACCGCAAAAATCGGACACTGAACTGGTTGGGTCTCTTTGGTGTGCGGTTAAACGGTGGAACTCCCTGCCACAAGGACCATCCACCAGCCTGGGCGGCTTTCAGAAAGGACAGGGCAAGAAGGAATAACGTAAAAGGGAAGATTAAGAAATGCTAGGATGCGAAGATAGAAACCAGGAAACCAGGAAGCAGAAGGGAGGGAAGTTGACGCTCGGAAGAGCAATACAGTGGTACTTCAGGTTACAGACGCTTCAGGTTACAGACTCCGCCAACCCGAAATAGTGCTTCAGGTTAAGAACTTTGCTTCAGGATGAGAACAGGAATCGTGCTCCGGCGGCGCAGCAGCAGGAGGCCCCATTAGCTAAAGTGGTGCTTCAGGTTAAGAACAGTTTCGGGTTAAGAACGGACCTCTGGAATGAATTAAGTACTTAACCCGAGGTACCACTGCATATAAAGTGAATTTCAAGAGTACAGTGGATGCTCGGGTTGAGAACGTGATCCTTGCAGATGCACGTTCGCAACCCGCAGTGTTCGCAACCCATGGCGCTTCTGCGCTTCTGTGCATGTGCAAAGCGCGGTTTAGGGCTTCTGCGCATGCGCAACCCCCGAAACCTGGAAGTAACCCGTTCCGGTACTTCCAGGTTTTGGCGGTCCGTAACCTGAAAAAACGCAACCTTGAAGTGTCTGTAATCCGAGGTATGACTGTATGTTGAAACGGAAAAAATGGAAAAGCAATAAAAATATTATAAAAAGAAAGGAAGGAAGGACAGGGCAAATTCGTAGAGGAGGCGGCTATTGACAGATCGGATGTGGGACCTTCTGCATGCCAAGAAGATGCGCAGATGCTGAGCCTTTCTCCTAAGATTCTAGTCCTCATCCTTCTGAACGAAGGCCTGGTTTGCCTCTTTGTGGCCCCCTGGACCAGAGCACGTCAGGCCCTCCTGTCTTCCACTGCCTCCCGCAGTTTGGTCAAACTCATGCTGGTCGCTTCGAGAACACTGTCCCACCATCCCGTCCTCCGTCCTCCCCTTCTCCTTGTGCCCTCCATCTTTCCCAACATCAGGGTCTTTTCCAGGGAGTCTTCTCTTCTCATGAGGCGGCCAAAGTCTTGGAGCCTCAGCTTCAGGATCTGTCCTTCCAGTGAGCACTCAGGGCTGATTTCCTCAAGAATGGAGAGGTTTGATCTTCTTGCAGTCCATGGGACTCTCCAGAGTCTCCTCCAGCACCAGAATTCAAAAGGATCTAAAACCCCTTAAATTCTGGCCTTGAAATGCAAAGTGCATACAGAAGAATGGAGGATATTTGCCTCCATGCCTTTGTGCATTGCCTTCCCTCATCTCTACCTTATGCACTGATTTTACTCTTCTTTTGGGGGGTGTCCCGAGAGCCTCTTCTCCCTCTCCCCAGCTGTGCCACCCCCCTTCTCCTGCCCCCTCGCCCGCCTGCCCTCCGTCCCTCCCTCCGCCTCTCTCCCTCGCTCTCACAAACCCAAGCAGCCAGGCATCACTTTCTGCCGCACTCATCCTTTCTGACAGGCATCATCTTCCCAGGGAAAACTCCCTCCCTGTCAGCTGTTCCACGCTCCCCGCCGGATCGGGGTCACCTCTCCAGGCGGCCGATAAATGATTCATCGCGCCCCCCAACCCTCGCTGCCTCCCCCGGCCCCCAGCCTGCACCCGGCGCCTCCCAATCCAACCTCCCTCACTGTTTTCGAAATGGGGACCCCCCTCCCAAAAACGCCGCCCCTCCGAGGCGGTCGCTGCCAGGAATTGACCCACAGATGTGTCGCTCGGCCACGGGCCACACTGCTGCAGGCAGGGCGCTTCCCGGTGGGGAGAGCAAAGGGTGGGGGGTCAGGGCACCTTGGCATCTGCCGGGCCGGGGGACGAGGAAGGGGCGCCCAGAGGTGGGTCGGCTGATCCTGGCAGCCGGCCGACTTTTAGAAAAGACACTATTTTATCTCAGACAGTGAGCGCACGGGCCTTTGAAGCACATTCCAAGCGCATGATTTGCTCTCTCCAGTGAATTCTGGGAACTGTAGTTTCCCGGGAACTGTAGTTTCCTGGTGCCCTTGGCCAACGGTGGCTCCTCCTGGGATTGTTGTTTTTGTAGGAATGCCCTGTGCTTTGCAGCCGAGATTGGGGGCAGATGGAAGGAAGTGCTGGCACGTTGTTAAACTGCGGAACTCCCTGCCACAGGAAGTTGTGCTGCCTCCCCGCCAGGTGTGAATATCTTGGTCCATCACGGTTGGTACGGATGATGGATGGGGGCTGCACTGTCTTCTTCTGCCTGTCCCTGTTCCCAGCAGCCCTCTTGGGTGCTCAGTCGGAAGAGCACGAGACTCTTCGACGCCGGGTTCTGGGTTCGAATTCCACATTGGGCAAAAGATTGCTGCATTGGACTAGATGAGCCTCGGGGTTCCTTCCGACGCTGCCGTTCTGCGATCATGGGTTGATCTGCAGATGGGTCTCCGGGTTTTAAGGCAGGGAGGGGCTTTTTGCACAGGCACCCGTGAAACGAATCATGTACAGTAATTATTTCCCAGGGAGGGGAATATTTTCCCTCTCTCTCTCTCTCTCTGAACTGCAATTAGCAGCTGCCCTCTTTAACGAGGCCTCTGGAGAGAGAATTCCCTGACCCCAATTGGAAGGGAGAGCATCGCTTTCCCAAGCCCACATCCGACCCCCTCGCCACCTGCCTGGGCCCATCAAGATCTCTCTCGGTTGGCCCCCCCCAGCCCTTGAGCTCTGACAACCTTCTTGACCCCCACTGAGCGAAAAAGGTGAGAGTGTGTGGGGCTGCTTGAGGCTGCTGGAGCCGTTCCTAGCTGTGGGGTTTTTTGTGGGGGGACTCCCAGAACGAGCGGGGCCTCCCCTACAGACTCCATCTGCAGACATCAGTAGCTCCTGCTGGAATCGCAGAAGTGTTGAGTTCGAAGGGACCCCCAGGGGTCATCCAGTCCAACCCCGACAATGCGGGAATCTCAGCTGAAGCATCCCTGACAGATGGCCACCCAACCTCGGATTAAAAACCTCCAAGGAACGCGAGTCTGCCACCTCCCGAGGGAGACCATTCTGACTCTTACGGCCAGGAAATTCGTCCTGAGGTTTAGTGGGGAGGGACGCGGGTGGCGCTGTGGGTTAAACCACAGAGCCGATCAGAAGGTTGGCGGTTCGAATCCCCGCGACGGGGTGAGCTCCCATTGCTCACCCAACCCTAACCCTAACCTACCTGCCAACCTAGCAGTTCGAAAGCACATCAAAGTGCAAGTAGATAAATAGGTACCGCTCCGGTGGGAAGGTAAACGGCGTTTCCATGCGCTGCTCTGGTTGGCCAGAAGCGGCTTAGTCATGCTGGCCACATGACCCGGAAGCTGTACGCCGGCTCCCTCGGCCAATAAAGCGAGAGGAGCGCCGCAACCCCAGAGTCGGCCACGACCGGACCTAACGGTCAGGGCTCCCTTTACCTTTACCTAACGTATTGGAGCAAACTCATGCATCTAAAGCACTTTTCTGGATGTGAGAAGAGCTTGCTGGATCAAACTAGCCCAGCAAACCAGTGGCCAATAAAAAAACCTGCAACCAGGATTCGAACACAGGACCGGCACTCTCCCCTTCTGCACGTTCTAGCAACTGGCATTCGGAAGCATTGCTTTCTTCCGACCGCAGAGGCCGTCGACAGCCCTCTCCACCTCCATTGTAAATTTGCCCCTCTTTTAAAGCGGCCCGCCGTCTTCTCCTGTTGCGGGGAGTTCCGCAAGTTCAGCTGCACAAAGAAGGTAGTTCCTCCCCCACCCCGGTCCCGAATTTTCCAGTGCCCGTCGGCAGGAGGAATCGACCCCCCCGGATACTCACAGAGGTATAGAGGTAGCCCTCGGCGTTCATGGCGACGTACTGGCCCGATTTGGTGCTCTGGATAGCGACCACGCGTAGTCCCACGGGAATCAGGTTGAAGAGGGCTGCGGGGAGAGAGGCAGAAAGGAGGTCGGTGTCAACACCAAAGGAAGAACAGGAGGAGGGTTTTGGGGGGGGGTCAAGAACAGGGTCAGCAAACAGATTTACTCCACCCCCGCCCCCTAGTTGTCAGAAGGCTTTTTTAACTGGGGAGGGGGGTTTCCTCCCAAAAAGCTGCCCATTTCCATTCCTAACGGTTCTCAAGATCCGTTCTTCGCACGTGAACTTTGAAAGAAGCTACTAGGCCTCGTGAATATTCGCCGGCATCCGAGTGCGAACGCAGCCTTCCGAATGCAATTTTCAAAAATTCGCGTCATTGTGTTCCTAAAAAAATCTACGCGTTGCTCGATTGCGAGGAACCGAGCCCAAAAATTTGCAGCAGTTTCCCAAAAAAGATAAAATAATACAATCATTGGTAAAAAAATGAAATAGTATACGAAAGCTCTCAAAAGAGTTAAAATAAAAACAGATCAAAACCTTGCCTAATATTCGCTGTTTTTGCAAGGCTTTCCCCCCAACTTAATGCTTCTTTCCTCGTTTATTTTCGCAGATATACGCCTTTCCAAACACCTTCTTAGTTTGGAGAAGTTCTTTGCGGACATCGCAGGAGTGCCGAATTCAAAACACGGTTTTGGTTCGAGAAGCAAGGATGTGGGCCGCTTTTCGGCGAAATCGAATTCCTCCCCCTGTCCTAGTTGGCAGCCTGGACCTGTGTGCCCTTTGGAAAGAATCCTAGAACCACAGAACCGTGCAGCTGGAAGGGGACCCCCTGAGGTCATCCAGCCCAACCCGCTGCAAGGCAGGAACCACGGCTTAGGAATCCTAGAACGGCAGGTGGCCAACATCTGCTTAAAAACCTCCGAGAAAGGAAAGAGGAAATATTGGGGGGCAGAGAAGGACCCCCATGGGCAGAACTTGTGAATTCTGCTGGCGGCGGCAGCAGCAGGAGGAGGAACGGGAAGAAGGGTTGCTTTGGAAAAGGACTCAGACCACGGGGAGCGAGTTCGAGGTGGGCGGCAGGCGGACCTTTCGAAAGCCTCTGCTTCCTTTAAATGCGAGAGCACGAGGGGGGCAAGGGGGGGTGGCGAGATTTGCTGCGGCCGTGGCTGCCGCTACCCTCCTCCCGGTTTTGTATTCGGGTCTAGCGCAGGGTGGAGGGGAGAGATTTGCTGGAAGCAGCCCAGGACGGGATGAAATGGAAGGAGCAGGATCATCAATCACGCGTCCCTCTGAGGACGGGCCAGCTCAATTATGCTCAGATAGAGAGCCAGGAATGGACGGGAAGAGAAGGCGGGAGGAAGGGAGGAAGGGAAGACAGATGGCGCAAGCCAGCGAGGGAATGAACCAGGGGGAGGGAGGCCGCGGCTGCAGACGGGGGGCCGTGTGGTCAGGTGAGAGGGCCCCCAGATCCAGCCCCCTGGGAGAAAGAACGGGCAGGATTTAATTCACAAATGGCCCGGAAATATATCCCAGGTCTTGTCCCAAACCGGGGCCAGGCTAGGCCATGACACCCCCTGCCCAAAAAAGGACCCAACCGGCAGGTGGAGGGCCCAAATATTTCTGAGTCGTTGGCTGACCCCCTGCGTGGTTGCGTTACACGGGGTTGGGCTGGATGACCTTTGGGGGTTCCCTTCCGGCGGCATGGTTCTGAGGCTGCCTCCTCCTCCTTTGACTCTGCGAGCTTGGCAAGGAAGCGCCCTGAGATCTTACGGCGAAGAAGGGCAGTGTATGACTCTAATAAATAAAATGAATAAGGCGTTGGCTCTTCGGCGCCACCTGCTGTCTGGCTCCCTGCTGCCCGCCCCACCCCTGCTGGAAAGGGACTGAGCGGAGGCTTCCTGCCCCGATCTGTTCTGGGATGCTCAGCTGGAGGGTCAGAGCTTTCTCCAGATCTCCTGCCGGGGCTTTGGGCGACGAACATGGGTCAGGCGAGGGGTTCCCCCGGCCCCCGGCCCTGCCAGCTGCCCTTACTGAAGCCGTTGGTGTCCTCTCTGGTGCCGTCAATACTGCCGTCGGGGTGGACCTGGAGATAATAGCCGTGCCTGCAGAAGAGTTTGGTGACGATGCCTTTCAGCTGTGGCTCTGCACCGGAACGGGGGTGGGAAAACAAGCGAGACATGGTAAGAAACATCACTTCCCTCTCCCCATGTCAACCGACGCAGACCCTCCAATCGCCGTCTAAGGCCTTTCTCTGCGTGCCCCCAACCTCCTCAGGGAAGCCCGGAGGGTGGCGGCAAGAGAGCGGGGCCTTTTTTGTGGTGGCTCCCTATTTGCGGGATGTTCTCCCCAGAGAGGCTCGCCGGCCACCATCCTCACATATTCATTCATTCTTTTATTCATATGCTGCCTTTCCCTAGTTCAAACAATGCTCAAGGCGGCTTACAACACGACAAGATTTACACAATCAGCAACATAACAAAAGTCATAAACAATAAATAAAACACATCAAAAAGAACACACAACCAAATGGAAAACAATTTCCACATAAATCATAAAATCTAAAACTAAGAATATAGCATTAATATCAACTGCAATTTAAAATGACATAGATGAAAAAATAAAAGCAATTAAACAACAACAACAACAATAATGATTATAATAATTTATTATTTGTACCCCGCCCATCTGGCTGGGTTTCCCCAGCCACTCTGGGCGGCTTCCAACAAAGATTAAAAATACATCAAAAACAAAACAAACAAAAAAACACAAAACACGAAAACATATCTTTTGGCACTGGTCAAAAACGTTTCTTTTCACCAGGCTTACTCTTCAGCCCCACTGGGATTTGAACCCAGGCCTTTGCAGCCTGAAACACGAAACATTGTGTTGCAGAAGCTTCCCCCCCACTCAGAAAACTGCAGAGGTGGAGGGCATTTGTGAAAACACAACGAAAAACTGTACAGCACCTAGCACAGCGCATTGCAATTCCTGCCATGGGCATTCGGACAAACTATTAAGGCTACTGCCTGATGCAGGCCAAACCTTGTCTAATGTCCTTAGCAGCCCTAAACATTTTGCAATGGTGCAATCATGTCAGTTTTTCATTTTTCAAGCTGCACGTCCGTCCCCCTTCCTTTAGTCTCGTTCCCCCCACCACTGTGCTCCTCTGAAACCCACTCCAACATGCCAACACGAGCCGTCCAGAACCGGACACGGCCAACTCCAGATGGCCAGCCCCGCTCCTGTTAAAGTGTGGAGAAATTGGGATTTCATTAACCTGAAATCGTGTTAGGCTTTTTGGCTGCTGCATCACGCCGGTGGCTCAGCTTAGAATCCTAAAAATTGCACTAGACGTTGTAGTTTAATGGTGAATTCTGGACATAATGGAGATGTAAAAGGTTTGGATTATCGGAAAAGACGCAGAGGGAAACGATTAACAACAGGACCCACAAAGGAGAGGAAGGGAGGTCCAGGAGAATCTTTAGAATCTTCTCTGTTGGACGTTCGATATGTGACTGTAAAGGTTTAATCTGAAAAACCAGCCAACTAACCAACCAAACAAATGCCGTATTTTTCGATCCATAAGACGCACCTAGTTTTTAGAGTACGAAAGGGGGAAAGCCCTGGTTTTTTAAGGATCAGCTCAAAGTTGTGCAGCTTCCTTTGCAAAGTGGAAAACCCCCTTTTTTGAGGACCACCTCATAGAATCATAGAGTTGGAATAGACCAGAAGGGCCATCGAGTCCAACCCCCTGCCAAGCAGGAAACACCATCAGAGCACTCCTGACATATGGTTGTCAAGCCTCTGCTTAAAGACCTCCAAAGGAGGAGACTCCACCACACTCCTTGGCAGCAAATTCCACTGTTGAACAGCTCTTACTGTCAGGAAGTTCTTCCTAATGTTTAGGTGGAATCTTCTTTCTTGTAGTTTGGATCCATTGCTCCGTGTCCGCTTCTCTGGAGCAGCAGAAAACAACCTTTCTCCCTCCTCTCTAGGACATCCTTTTATATATTTGAACATGGCTATCATATCACCCCTTAACCTCCTCTTCTCCAGGCTAAACATGCCCAGCTCCCTTAGCCGTTCCTCATAAGGCATCGTTTCCAGGCCTTTGACCATTTTGGTTGCCCTCCTCTGGACACGTTCCAGTTGGTCAGTGTCCTTCTTGAAAAGTTGTTGAGCTTACTTTGCAAAGGGGAAAAATCCTGTTTTTGCGGGGTTCGACTCACAGTTCTGCAGTTCCTTTAGGAAAGGAAAGGGAGCCCTTTCTACAGTTTCCAGACAGATAATCTAATCAAGCAGTCACACGTCGCTGGGGGGAAAAGAAGCCTCCGTCTGCAGAACATTAAGCAATGGAGGCCTGGGCAAGGGGCCGGAAAGGGAGCCGGCGATCAACCACACACTCGCTCCCTAAGATGCACAGACATTTCCCCTTACTTTTTAGGAGGAAAAAAGTGCATCTTATGGAGCAAAAAACACGGTATTTTATTTATTTATTATTTATACCCCGCCCATCTGGCTGGGCTTCCCCAGCCACTCTGGGCGGCTTCCAAAAAAATATCAAAATACTGTAGTACATCGAACATTAAAAGCTTCCCTAAACAGGGCTGCCTTCAGATGTCTTCTAAAAGTCTGGTAGTTGTTGTTCTCTTTGACATCTGGTGGGAGGGCGTTCCACAGGGCGGGCGCCACCACCGAGAAGACCCTCTGCCTCGTTCCCTGTAACCTCACTTCTCACAGGGAGGGAACCGCCAGAAGGCCCTCGGAGCTGGACCTCAGTGTCCGGGCTGAACGATGAGGGTGGAGATGCTCCTTCGGGTATCCTGGGCCTTTGAGGCCATTTAGGGCTTTCAAGGTCAGCACCAGCACTTTGAATTGTGCTCGGAAACGTACTGGGAGCCAATGCAGATCTCTCAGGACGGGTGTTATATGAGTCTCGTCGGCCGCTCCCAGTCCCCAGTCTGGCTGCCGCGTAATAAAAACAGGCGCATTGCAACCTCACATCTGACCCCCTCGCCACCTGCCTGGGCCCATCAAGCTCTCTTTCGGTCGGCCGCCCCAGCTCTTGAGCTCTGACACCCCTCTTGACGCCCACTTTGGCCTTGGCGGAAAAAGCCAGAAGCATCACAGAGTGTGTGGGGCTGCTGGAGCGGTTCCTACCTGTGGGGTTTTCTTGTTGGGGGACTCCCAGAGCAAGCGGGAGATGGCATTTTTCCATCTCCGCCATGCTAAGCAGTTGGTCCCTTACCTTTCTCGCCCTGATCTGGCCACAGTGATCCACAAGATCCAGGCTTAACTACTGTAACTCGCTCTACGCGGGGCTGCCCTTGAAGCTGACCCAGAAACTCCAGCGGCTGCAGAATGCCGCGGCGAGACTCCTTACGGGGTCCTTGCCGTGGGATCACATTCATCCAGTGCTTTACCAGTTGCACTGGCTCCCGGTGGAGTACAGGGTCAGGTTGAAGGTGCTGGGTTTAACCTTTAAAGCCCTATGCGGCCCAGGACCCACATACCTACGGGACCGCCTCTCCTGGTATGCCCCACGGAGAGGTCCACAAATGGCAACACTTTGTAGGTCCCAGGTCGCAAGGTGGTTAGATTGGTCCCAACTAGGGCCAGGGCCTTTTCAGCTCTGGCCCCAACTTGGTGGAACGCTCTGTCCCAAGAGACCAGGGCCCTGCGGGACTTGACATCTTTCCACAGGGCCTGCAAGACAGAGCTGTTCCGCCTGGCCTTTGGTTTGGACTCAGTCTGACCCTTATGTTGCCCTCCCCTTATGGTCTTGATTTATCGGCTACTTTTAAAACGAGGCTGCATTTTAAATTACATTTTAACCTGTATTTTAAATTGGTCCCCCTCCCTTTCCGCCCTATTATGTTTTTACTGTGATTTTATTGGTGTTAGCCGCCCTGAGCCCGGCTCTGGCCGGGGAGGGCGGGGTTATAAATAAATTTTATTATTATTATTACCCTGCAGACTCCATCTGCAGACATCGGTAGCTCCTGCTGGAATTGCGGATGTGTTGAGTTCAAAGGGAAGCCCAGCGGTCATCTAGTCCAACCCCCGGCAATGCGGGAATCTCAGCTAAAGCTTCCCTGACAGATGGCCACCCAACCTCAGATTTAAAAAAAACCCAATTAAGGAGATGGCCACTGCTCCCAGCCCTTTCCCCATACGGTTCTCTTGGGGCGTAAATTGATGAAGGAAGTTCTCCTGTTGCATTGCAACTTTCTGTGCAGGTGCTGAAAACCCAGCTGCGGGGAAGGGAACCCTCACAGGAAGGTCTGCAAAATAAGTTTAAAGAGGGGAAAGAAGGTGAAAGGTGGCGAGAAAGTTCCTTGATACACAGAGACAGGGAAAACCATCGTAGGCAGTTATTGCCATTATTCTTCCCAATCATTGTTACCTTCTGGGAAATGATATATAATGAGATGGAAAAGATGTTGAAATAAACATTTATTAAGAAACCAGAAGCATTTCTACTTGGCATTGTAGGAGATGATATTAATAGACAGGATTGTAAGTTGTTTTTATATGCAATGACGGCTGCAAGAATATTATTGGCACAAAAATGGAAGCAAGAAGAATTACTGATGAAAGAAGAATGGAGGATGAAGTTGATGGACTATGCAGAATTAGATAAATTAACAGGAAGGATTCAAAACCCACAGGATCAGAGATTCTTAGAAGACTGGAGCATATACCATATAACACCGGTCTTGAAAGACCTACATTGGCTCCCAGTACGTTTCCAAGCACAATTTGAAGTGTTGGCACTGACCTTGAAAGCCCTAAACGGCCTCAAGGCCCAGTAGACCTAAATGAGCGTCTCCACCCCCATCACTCAACTGAGGTCCAGCTCCGAGGGCCTTCTGGCGGTTCCCTCCCTGCGAGAAGTGTTGTAGGGAACCAGGCAAAGGGCCTTCTTGGTGGTGGCGCCCGCCCTGTGGAACTCCCTCCCACCAGATGTCAAGGAAATAAACAACTACCTGACTTTTAGAAGACATCTGAAGGCAGCCTTGTTTAGGGAAGCTTTTAATGTTTAATAGGCTATTGTATTTTAATATTCTGTTGGAAGCCGCCCAGAGCCTTCTCGATGGTCCAGTTCTCACTTCCATACATCACTATTGGGGAAACCATAG